GTCACTTCTATTCTTTACAGAACCTTGTAGTGCCAAAAACTTTTTAAAAGGTAAAAAAAAATTAATAATAAAATAAAACTACAACCTGAATATTCAGAATTTTTTCTTTTACATTCTTGTATATTGAAAATATTCAAACTTGAACAGAAAGTTGCTTTTATCTGTATTTGAAGTAATTCTATTTTAAGTTAATAAATCTTTTTGACAAGAGTCAAATTTGGTTAATTCATCTGGTTGTTTAGATGATAGAAATATAATGTAATAGTTCAGACTTGTTTTACTCTCAGGGAGTATTCTCACAGGGTTTTGTTGGTTTTTTTTTTTTTTTTTTTTTTTGGTCCCTTATTGGATCTTCACAACAGCCATATGCTATTTTTTAATTTTTTTTTTTTTTAAAGAGAGATTGATTTGTTGTTCCACTTATTTGTGCGTTCATTGGTTGATTCTTGTATGTGCCCTGACTGGGGATTGAATCTGCAACCTTGGTGTACTGGGATGACACTAACCAACTGAGGTACCTGGCCAGGGCTCGTGTACTATATTGATAGAAGCAAATGCTGTCTCCATTTTATCATTGAGAAAACTGAGGTGCAAAACAATAAAGTGATTTTCAAAGGTAGCACACTTAAACATGTCGGAAATAAAATGGAAACATCTTTTAAAGGAAGAGTTTTTAAACACTGAAACCAATAACTGGCAATTAAAGTGAAAGGAAGGTAATTTTTATTTACTGAGGAACACTGGTTAGACCATCTATTCTGAGTCCTAAACTACTACCTGGAAAGCACACTTGTCATAATGGTGTTTACCAGTAATGTTTGTGATTAATAGGAAATCAAACTTGTGTCATTGGTGGTAGGTGTTTTGTTTTGTTTTTTTTTTAAGCTGTTTTTGGTACCACTACATTGAGGTAAAATCATTTTTGAAAAATCATTCAAGGAGATTTGCCAGGGATTTTAGGATAAATGATGCTATAGATTTCTTCCGAAATGTGCAGAATAAGTAAAAAGAAATGTATTTTATGGACAGTGAGTGTACTATTTTTGTTCTGCTTCCTCAGATATGCATTACTTAAAATAGGAGACTTCCTGGGCTTTTGCCATATTTTCCAACATGGAAGATGCTTGAAATCTATTGCAGGAGGTTGAGGGGTTTCCTGCTATATTTACAGCCCTGAAAAGGTATTTATTAAATGTTAAGATCAGGTGTATTTACTGTTACTTTTTCATATTAAAGCTTCAGCATCCCTAAGAATCCTAAGTGGTGTGGAGTTAACTCATTTGTTAATAAGATACCTAGTCCAGCGTATGCCTTTGTGTTAAAATTTTGTGACTTGGAGCATTCAAGATTTTTTTTTAAAGTTAGTATTCAAGTATTTCATCTCCTTTTAGGTTTTAGAATTATGAGGTGTACAGGGTGTTCAACTTGTTCTACTTTTGTAGATATTTGAAATTTTCATTAAAAAGAAAACAATCCACAACTAGAGACTGCCCCTAGCTCAGCCTGCCTTCCTAAAAGAAGCACTATATGCCTTGACAAAAGATATTTAATCTGCAATAAATTTCAGTAAACCTAGGTTTTACTTATGAGACAGTATTATATACTGTATAGTAATTTTCAGCATCTCACTTGTCCCTCCTTCAGCAGTTGCCATTATTAAGTGACAAAACTGTACCTAGTTGAAAAAGAGAAGACTTTTAGTTTGTAATTTATGTGGTAGTAGCTCAGTTTTTAAGTTTGCAGACTGTTCTTTTAAGAGAGGGAAACATCAATTGGTTGTCTCACAAGCCACACCTGTCAGAGCAAGTTTGCACTTTTCATAGAAATTGTAAACTTGAAAAGTTTTTTATTCAAATTCATTGAAGAGCAATTGAAAAGGGGGAAAAAAAATAATCATATGCAGAGAACACACACGCTCTTAAGATCATACAGTTTTGAAATGTTTTGCATAATGTTTAATGGCATGGAGACATTAATATTTTCATTTGCCATTTAATTTTATTCAAAGATATGAATGGTGTACTGTGTAATTTATTCAATACCCTGAGATGGACATTTTTACTATTTTTTTAATATATAAAAATATATGTAAAATGTTGATGGGCTAAAGCTATTTCCTAAAATTTATTTTTCAGTTACAGTTGATATACAAACATTATATTAGTTTCAGGTGTAAACATAGTAAGTAGACATTTATATACCTTATGAAGTGATCACCAAGATAAATTTAGTACCCATCTGACGCCATACATAGTTTTACTACAATATACTTGACTATATAATTTGCTATACTGTCCTTTACATCTCTGTGACTGTTTTTATAATTGGCAGTTTGTACTTCTTAATCCCTTTCCCCTTTTAACTCAACCCTCAGCAGTGCCTCCCTTCCATCTGGCAACCTGTTTGTTCTCTGTATCTGTGTTTATTTTTGTTGAGTTTATGGTTTTTTGTCTGTTTTTTAAGATTCCACATATTAGTGAAATTATACAGTATTTGTCTTTTTTGTTTCACTTTGCATATCCTTGAGGTCCATTTTTGTTGTCCCAAATGGCAAGATTTCATTCTTTTTTATGGCAACGTGAAAAATTCCATTGTACACATGCACTACATCTCTATCCATTCATCCAGGTTGCTTCCATGTCAGCCTATTGTAGATAATGCTGTAGTGAACATAGGGGTGCACATACCTTTTTAATATTACTGCTTCTGATTTCTTCGGATACATACTCAAAAGTGAAATGGAATTGCTGGGTCATGTTAGCCTTTTTAAATTTTTGCAGAACCTTTGTAACGTATTCCATAATGGGTGCACCAGTTTATCATCCCACCAAGAGTGCACAAGGGTTCCCTTTTCTCCACATCCTTGCCAACACTTGTTTGATTATTGATAATAGCCATTCTGCCAGGTGTGAGATATCATCTCATAGTGTTTTTGATTTGCTTTTCCCTGACGATCATTCATGTTCAGCATCTTTTTATGTGCCTGTTGACCACCTGAATGACCTCTTTGGAGAAATGTGTTTGTGTCTTTGATGCTAACCTGTGTTAAGTTTTTGATATATTTTAGATATTAACCTATTATTGGATGTAGCATTTGCAAATAATTTTTCCTATATAGTAGATTGCCTTTTTGTTGTAGGTGGTTTCCTTTTGCAGTGCAAAAGCTTTGATATAGCACCATCTGTTCAATTTTTGCTTTTGTCTTTGCCCTAGGAAAGATATTTTTAAAAAATGTAGCTAGGAATATATCCAAAAGTTTTATGCCTATGTTTTCTTTTAGGAGTGTTATGGCCCTAAGCCTTATGTTTCACTTTTAGTCTTTAATTCATTTTTTATTTTTGTATATGGTGTAAGTGATCTAGTTTTATTTCTAAGGTAAAGCTATTTTTGTGTTTGCTTTTACATTATGGTGAATTCTTACACATGGGATTATTAGGTAAAAAGGATAAAAATTCCAAGGTTCCTGTGACATAGTGGTTACCAATTTGCAGTTCCAACAAACTATATACAATGTGTTGGTAAGCTTATAAAAAAGCTTTAAACTCCAAACTCACTTTTTCCTTGTAAAGAATGTTAAGTGCTTATTTAAAAAGAAAAAAGGTGAGCTAAAGCACTCAAAAGCCCATCAGCCGGAAATAAATACTATTATCTGGTGAATTTTATTCATTAAGACCTTCTCTCTTAAACATAGACATACATATAGTTTTACTTGGATTTAACAAGAGGAAAAAAATGTCAAAGTGACAAAATGCTCAACTTTAAAATTTTCTATGAAAACCCAGTTCTAAGTTTCTTCTGAAAATTGGGGACAATTATAGAAAACATCAGAGGCTGGAATCATTTTATTCCTAGTGTCACGTATATTTTAATTAGAGACAGTATATGCTCCTATTAGGAAAAATGAAACTAGCACACTACTGAGTTTCTCTGCTTCCTGGTTATATTATTCCTATTTAGACAATGTTCAAATATTTAATTTGAATATTGAATCATTTCCCATTATTTTTGTTGCAAGTTTCTAAGATGTTTACTACCACTCCTTTTGCTCCTCTTTTCCTAAGTCCATAATTTGATTCATTTCTTGTTGGGCTAATTTTGTGGTCACAGATCTTTCCCAAATAACTTTTAAGTTCTTGCATCCTTGAGAATGCCTACTCCCTTTATATTTTAAAGACAACTTGGGTTGGGTATCAAATTCCTGGCACACTCATTGCCTCATGAAGTACAAGATCTGAGACCTTGATTTTGTTCCTCACTATACATGATTTGATATTCTTCCTCACCTTTATCAGGGTATTTCTTGGTAAATTGTTTTTATTATTTCAGGAAATTTTTCTATTTGAATTTTTTAAACTGTGATTTGCTCAGTTCTCATCAGGAATGTCAGGCATATGCAGGATTTTTTTATTACCTTAAGCTTTTATTACTCTCCATTTTTTATTTTCTCCAGCCTATTCTTTCACTGCCTTTATATTGTTTTATAAGGTTTCAAGTTTTTCACATCTTCATTTTATACTCTGCCAATTTTTGATCCTTTAATCTTTTTAATTTTGTCTGCATTTTTAAAAACAGACCGTTTTGCTATATCATTTTTAAGTCTGGAGAACTTATTACTTCAGCCTTTTGAGGGGAGTGGCCAGCACCTGTGATCATTGTTTTCTGATTATTTTATGCTTATTTAAATTTAGGTCGATCTGCTGAAAGTAGAAAGGGACTTTAAGTTTGGTTGTTAATACTATAAACCTCTCACCAAATCCAGCAGTCTGTGCCTCAGAACAATTTTCTCCCTTCATTTTTTAGTATTTAGAAGTTATTGTGCCCAATAGCAAAGCTTTTAAGGCAGTATAATTCAAATTGTGTGAAATAAAATTGATTTAGTGGTTTGCACCCAACATTAAAAACTGATACTATATAGGAAATATCAGAATGCATTTTGCATAAGGAGTAAGAATTTTTTCAGTATAGATAAAATGCAAAAAAATGTGTTTTATAGGCCAAAGTCAGTTATAAAGTTACAGTTCCAGCGCCTCATTTACTAGGCTGGTCAGCAAATGACAGAAATGGCCCTTAAGCTCCATCTCTTCTGCAAATCTAATTTATCAGAACCTCCAGATAGATGTTCATCACATCCCACTATTTTCTTTGTACTAACAAGAGAGGGACAAGCTGCTTCCTGCTATGGGTTAGGTTGGCTGTGGTGCCCCATTTTAGTCCAGATTTTATGATATGCCTAATAAATATGCTTTCACTTGACAGTTCGTTTGTGTAGGTTTGCTTCTGTTACTAAAAATTGTTCGGGTTTTTTAAGACAGACATTTAAAAGTTTTCATTTTAAAGTGAACTTTATAAATACTTTAACAATATACTAGATGATGACTTGGTTGGTCCATAGGTTATGAAGCCAAAAGACATTTCTTTCTACCTAAATCACTGGTAATAACTGCTGAGACTCTATAACAAATGCAAATAGAGGTGCTTATTTTAATTTTTAAAGGCAATCACATATAGTTGTATGATAAACCATAATAGCTCTGGTGGACTTTTATTAGCCAGTGTCACCAAGAGTCGTCACTGGAGAATCTGAAATCACAAGCATTATACCTATATAACTTAAAATTGCTGCAAAAATCCTTCCATTCAAACAAGCAATAGAATATGAATTCTGTGACCAGATACGGCTTCCCAGGAAACTGGATCCATCCTATGTTGAGGCAGTTGGTATTCAGAATTCTTGCTGGGACCAGAGCTGCAGGAAGCCATTCAATCAGTTTTCCATTTTTAAAGGAGGAAGGTAAGTCTTTTCTAGCAAAGATTGTGATACCCTCTTGATTATTAATGCTCACGAATATTTTTGAGTCCTTACTTTCCTCCTGCATCCTTAGACCTCTTCTAATTCTTTCTGAATGGTTCATTTCAGTTTTTAATCGTGATTGCACTTCTTCTTCTCACCAGTGTTGCTCTTGCCTGTGATTGTTGTTTTTCCCTACGTATACACACAATCCCTGGGCAATGTCTAATTCTACACATCCATAATTACCTAAACATTGTCAGTTCATGGCTAGATCACTATGCTCAACTCCAGTCCGTATTTCCAACTGTCTGGGGTTTGTCTAGATACACCATAGCTGTCTCAAATTAAACTTTTAAGTTAAACTGAATGCATCATTCTCACTACCACAACTCTCACTAACTGCCCCGGTAAAACCTGGTCTCTCTCAGCTATATTTTCTGGCTTTGTGAATAGCACTATTTTCCAACAATTCAGGTCAGAACCCTGAGTGGTGCTAATTTCTCTTCATCAAACCTTTTCAATCTTGTCTACTGCTATTGGCTAGATTGGAATGCCAGTTCTCGTAGAATAAAGGCTAAACATCTCAATCTGTAATTCAAGGCTTGTGTAGAAGAAACAACACTCTAAGAATCCTGTAAAAAGGGGTTAAATTTTACTTTTTGTTGAACTGTTTGATGCAGCTGGGTTAAAAACAAGCCATAAGAAGCGTTACATTTACATTATTTTCTTACAAAGCTGCTGCTAATCAGTTTTCATGTTTACTATCACTTGCCACTGCTGGGGAAAACACTTGGCACTAGTATGTTTTACTAACTTGATCTTTGAATGTAATAGTAGTTGCACAAATCTTAGGATTCTCAGAACAGCTCCAGTGATGGAGCAACCCAAAAACTAAACTATAGAAAGATGGTAAATGGGTGTTTTAAATTTAATAAAAAAAGGATCACTAGGTGGGTTACATCCTCAAATCCTCAATGTTGGTTGTACAAAGGGGTCAAAAGCAGCCCTTGGGGAGCATTATCCCTCATACATGGAATAGTATTCAAAAAAAGATATAAAACTCAGCACCTCTTTCATTAAAAAAAAAAAAAAGGTGGAGAAACTTTTTGGTGTTAAAAAAAAAAAACAACTAAAAATATTCTCATAGCTGCCCCAGAAGTAGATCTTAATCCTTCTACATAGAGAGATGCCTTCGTATCTGCAGTAGGCCATTTGGACTAAATCCAAACTGAATCCATTACTCATTCCCTCTCCGACTCTTCTTGTGGCTTTTCTTAGATCTGAAATGGGAACACATACAAATTATTAAATTTAACAGCTGTTCAAGGAGCTAGTGAGGGACTTTTGAGGAAAACCAAGATACGGTGATACTGATGGGGACCGAGATGATACCCAATATTTATTAAGGTGCCTAGTGTTTTTATGTCTCAAAACAACACAATGAGTCTAGCTAACATAACTTACTACCCAAATTTACCATTGAGGAAATGACCTCTGAAAGACTGAGTTAACCTAACAGTGTATAGCATATAAACATTTCTAATGAAAGCTTATCAAATACAAGTAACTTGGCCAATGTCACCCTGTTAAGTGTTAAAATTTGGGGTGTAAGTCCAGGTCTCCTGAGACGAAAGTTCATATACCCTTACCACTATCCAAAGATACAAATCCAACAAGGAAAAGTAAAACATCATTTTAGTATTTATCAGGAAAACAGGCCAATTTTTATCCTGTAATGAAGGAGAATTCCTAAATATCCCCATCAAAACAAGAAAATTTCAGGTCAAATTTAGTTGTGATTGGGGCATTAATTTCTGAATAAAGACCAAAAGTCTTAAAGGAAAGATCAGTCCATACCTTTCAGGAGACTTTGAGTGGCTCCTATGTCTGTGACTACGGTGATGACCTGGGGAAGAAAAGGCCAATGGATGAATGAGATTCTACTCTCCTACTCTTCTACTGTCAATTTCACCTCCTATAATCCCTTCCATTGCCTTAATACTTTTTTTTTAACCTTATTCTAGGGACCACCTCTGTTTGGTAGCACCTCTCTCAACTGGCACATGTATGGTGGGAGAGGAGACTAAAGCCACTTCATATGCATTTAAGGCTTTATGACTAATAACACAAACATATCACATTGGTTAAGTACCACTACTCTGTTAGGTCTTACTCCTAAAATTTCAGGTGAAGAAACAGACTCATTGTCATATGAGCAAAGCTTACAAGTGAGAGTCAAGATGCCAACTCTGATTTTCAAATTCTAAGTCCATTTCCTTTTCTTCTAAGCAGTAACACAAGCCCTCCAGTATTGCAGGAGGTTAATTGCTCCTATTACATTTTCTTTAAAACTAATAGCAAAAGGCCCAAATACTATACCTGGGGACTTGGAGCGGGATCTGTGCCGTCTGTCTCGGGACCTGCTGCGGTGACGTCGTGGACTCTTGCTCCGATGCCTTTCTCGGCGAGGGGAGGGGCTGTGGAAATGATTGGTCATGCTCCCACATGTGACAATATAACCAAAATAGTCCCCCTCCCCAAATTCCTATCCTTCATTACAAATCCCTAAAGGCCTACCTTCTCCTTTTGGGAGACCGACTCCGCCTATTAGGAAAGAAAACAGGCAAAAGAGCCTAGGTAAGTAGGTGCCTTAGATGTTGTAGATTGCAAATACTGCTCTAATTCTTAACCCATCTCTCTGTTATCCAGCCCCTTAGTCATGTAACTTTTTAGCATCCTACCACTCCAAGTGACTTGCTTTGGCCAATGGGATGTTTACATATCAATAAGGATACAGTGGAAAGAAATGTGCATAATTGGGCGCGTCTGCTCTTGAAATCTGCCACTGCCACGAGAACATACCTAATGTGGCCTAGCATGAGATATACATAGAGAAGAGATGAACTACCCCAGTCATTCTAGCTAAGCCTATCCTTTACTTGGCAACAGACTGCAAAACAGGTGAGTGAACATAACATGAATAAAAAACAAGACTGCCTCTCCAAGACCACCTATATCACTGACTACAGACTTGTGAAGTTAAATAAATGGTTTTTGTGTGCCACTGAGGTTTTGTGGATGGTATTTTTCAGCAATATTGGCCAAGCAAATATTCTCCATAGACTGGCATTTTCCCTTCCCTGAAGTCCAAAGCTTAAGGTCTTCCTGGAAGAGGCAAAGGACCTTCACCTTCTAGGAGAGCGGCTCCTGCTTCTCCTGTAGCGCAGTGTGGGAGAGCGACGTGGCTTGTCCAAGTCTCGGTAACTTCTCCGGCGGTGATCAGGTGATGGTACTCTCTCCAACTGGAAATGAGATGGATGGATCAGTGATGAGCACAGGTTTATAGAGAACCATCTAGAAACATTGCTACATTCCCCTGGCCATCCTGTCTCAAATGATTTTAAAACTTCAAGTGATTTTAAAAACTAATTTAAATACATAGAGGGATAACCCTGAGGAGAAAAAAATTCCAAATAAAAAACTTTGCAATAACTCTTATTATTGTTTGAGTGTTGGTACCACTATTTTGGGACTTTTTTAGAGCAATGAGAGGTAGGTAAATTACATTTAATTCCTTAAGAAGTTGTCTTTCCAATGCGAAAAAGGAGATACAGATACAAGATCGTTAGGGTTAAATAAAACTCATAGTATACTTTTAATCTTAAAAATTTTTTCCCCCTAGGATCAGCCAGCTATAAAGGTCTAGTAACAGTGACCAAACACATAGCAACAAGCACTAAGTTGTGGTATCTAAATATCCTATCTCAGTAAATGGGACCAAGGGCTCCTTAGAAAATGGCTAATTCCAGGTTGGGAGCAGAAGCTATTAAGATATGACTAGAACATATTCTATGATTTCCCTCATATGTGGAATCTTACAAACACCTAACAAGCAAAATAGAGACAGATTCATAGCATGCTGACAGCTCTTCGTGGGTGGGGGTGGGGAGGTGGTGGTAGTAAGGGGTAGAGGTACTGAGCAAAAAGGAAAAAGACTCATGGACATGGACAACACTGTGGTGACTCTGGCAAGGAGGAGGGTGTAAGGGGAATAAATGTTAATGGAAAAAAAAATTTTTTTTAAAAAAGAATATACTGTCATATCACAAAGCCACAAGGTTGAAACTGCTATGATCAAATCTATATATGTGAGGCAAGATGATGGACCCCACTGGCCAAAGGACAATTTGAGCATCAAGAGGAACAGAAATGGTTCAAAATATATCAAATATGTTTAAATCCATGAGTTCACTATGTTATTGGGGACAAAAGGACATTTATCATCTTGATAAGATACTCTAGAATCAACTCATTTTAATAATTGATAAAGAAAACAAAATGGCCGAGAGTTGATCACTGTTGAAGCTAGGCTGATAGGTAAACTGAGGCACAGTCTCTCCACTGTATGTGATTAAAACTTTCCATAAAGATACTTTTGGTTCACTCACCACAGAAAAACACCTCAGCTTTGTATGGCTTTGAATTCATGAGAGATTGTGCTTCCTTTTGCACTAAACTTTAAGGGAGACTGATGGCTCAGAGCAACACTTCCATTTGTAATGTCTCAGCATTGATAAGGCAGCATTTCTTATATTTCCCCCCCAGCCTTTTTCTGTACATACGTTGTTGCTCTAATTTTAATTACAAATATTTTAGAGACTTTTTTGACTTACCACAAACATTTCCACATTATTGAATACTTTTCCTGACAGTTTCAATGGCTGCCTAATAGTCTGGTGAGCTGATGTGTTAGTTTATTTGACTGCCCCCTTATAGCTTAGTTGTTTGCAACTTTTTATCATTGTAACTAATATGAAAGAATGTGACCATGCAATAGGCACTTCTTTTTTCTAAACCAGGCTTAGTTCTTAGGATGGTTCCATTATAAACAGAATTATTTTTGTCCCAAGTATGTATTTTAATAGCATAATTCATTTAATATTTTATTAAATAGCACTTTAAAGACTATGTGCTATCATACTTAGGCAATTATAATGTACCAATACTATGCTAAGGGCTTTATGTATATCATCTCATTTAATACTCACTGATAGTCCTAAAAAAGATATCAATATTCTTTACAGAAGAGAAAACAGGTTATATAATTTGCACAAGATTACACCACTTTATATAGCAGAGCTAAGATGTGAGCCAAGGCTTACTTAACTCTACAGCCCATACTGTTATTGTCAAAATACTGTGTTTTTTTGTTAAAGTTAAAATTATCAAAAGCAAAAAGGCACCCTTCTCATCTCCTATAACTACCTCTCCTCCATCCTTAAGCTCCCAGGTACCTGACCTTCTCATCTTCCTCTTCCTCCTCTTCACTGGACTCCACATCATCCATGTCCTCTTCTAGAGCACTAACCCGAGGCTCCAATTGCTCAGCTTCCTCTAGCACGTAGCGTTTCTACAGAAAACACAAGAGTATTAGGGGGCCCTGCTATTTCCTGTGTCGTGAAGCCTCAACACTGGGCTTCTGAGATTGACAGGAAAACTATGGAGGAACAGCTGAAGTACTAGGTTGGCCAAAAATCCACTTAGATGTTTCTGTAAAATAAAAGACACATTTTTCATTTTCACCAAAAACTACTGATTTGGATATTGAGTATGTTGGCTATCTCTTATGTGGTTTAACACTGATATTCTCAATTATTGTCTTGATTTTATTGCTATCAACTTCAACTTGTCTACCCTACCATGGAGCATCATCTAGAGAAATCTCCAGCATGAAACTTTGCAAACCACTTTCGACAAATTCGATCAATTGAAGGACCTTCTCCACATACTACACAATTTCTTTTTGTTTCAGTTGAGTTTCTACCTTTCGTGAAATAATAAAGCATAATATGCCAAAAATGTGAATTTTCTTCCATCTTCAATATTAAAATGGCTACATAAAATTCACTGATTTTTTTTTAAAAAAAGCACACTGATATGACAGCTGTCATAATACAATCTAACAACTGTTTCAAATGAAGTTAAAAGACAACTATGCTACTAGAGCCATCCTGGGGGAAAAAAACCTTTTTGTCCAATCCAATGATTTCATTTCAAAGATATCCTAGACAGTTTAAGATTGTCCTAAGGAGTTTAACATTCCTGAAATTTACACAGTCTTTTAAGTTCCCCTGTAAACAGATACAAAGGTGAAGGGACCATCTCCATTTTCTGTTGGCTCTATTACCTGTGGTCTTATACTCTAAGGTAACTAGGATTATCAACCAGGATAGGTGTAACCTTGAATTAAAAAAGATGTGCACTGCATACATAAGGGCCTTAAGTTCATGGCTAAGACCGTGTTCGCTGATGGTTGTGCAGGAAGGGCTCAGATCAGTATCTATCCCGAGAGCTATTGAGGCTCAGCCCAGTTTAGGGGCTGAAGAATGCCTTAGGTCCTGCTTTAAAGTAGCACCAATTCTCTATTACACCGAATATTCAGAGAACTGTCTAGAATCATGCATTTTTAACATGGCACATGACAAACAATTCATCTAGGTCTACCTTCTGAGATGTGGCTTAGCAGTGCTTATCAAGTAACTAAGGACCTGAAAGGTAAAGGCAAGTTCAAACTGCCAAATGGACTGGCTGGGTCATAAGATCCCTTTTCATTTCCTTGTGCAAAGTATGTAAAAGAATGTTGGATAGTCCTAGAATAAATAGTAAGATTTGTATTCTACTTAGGTCTCATTCGTTCCTAATAAAATTACATAAAAGTTGGGAGAAATGTGACAAAGATGCCACTCAGTGAAGTCAATCCTTCAGAAAAGTGCTTTCCAGTCACAGAATCATCACAGTTGGGGATCTAAGGCTGCATCAGACAGGGTATCCAGAATACCTAATGCTCACCAGAGTTGGAAGTTACTAAAGTTAATATATTAATTCACAGCATTTGTGTTTGATGAAATTAAAATTCATTCCACGGCAGCTCCTTGCCAATGCCAGGGCACATCAGAGACTAAACTGATTACCTATGGGTTGCTTAATAACAGGATCAGAACAAGAGGTATTCTTAAGGACCACTTCATCCAGAACATGTAAGAGGCCCATACTTAGACCACATCTCCTGGTGATACATATCAGTTATTTCAATTTCTCCTGAGTGAGGCTTGTTTTGTAGTCTTCTAAACTCCATGCAGATAACCTCATTTTTATCAGTAGGACTGCTTATAGCTGACTGGGCTTTAGAACACTTAGCTGCTATAACCTGTTTGCAATCCCAAGTATTACATTTTTTGCAGTATTTCCAAAGATAAGAGCAGATAATAGTGATAATAACTAATGTAGCCCATAATGAGATAATGTGAGAACTGGGCACCAAAAGCAGGTTTTCTGATTTGACATCTCATTCTCTTCACGACATAGCCTACAGTAGCCAGCAAGGAACAGGAGAGAGATGGCACTCATTCAGCATGCAACAACACAGATGAACTGCAAAATAATTATGCTGAGAAGATAAAAAGTGAGAATATACTGTATTCCAAAATGCAAACTATTGTGACAGGTAGCATACATATCAGTAGTTGCTAAGAGCTGAGGGGAGGGATTGTATAGAAGAAAAAACTTTGGGGTTATGTTCACTATCCTTGATTGTGGTGATAGTTTAAAGGGTATACACACGTGTAAAAACTCACCAAACTGTACTACTTTAAACATATGTACTTTATGTCAATTACACCTTAATACACTACATCCATTTAAAAAAACCCCTTTGCTCAAACGAAATCTCTCTCTTAAACCCAATATGTAACTTAAAGAAAAAGGAGCTACCCTGGTTGGGATATGTAGGGTTGTCACCTCTTATTCCTTTCAGTAGCCTTAAAACAGTCCCATAAGGCAACTTAAGGCCACTAAGTAGTCTAATTTTTCCACATTATAAATGGGAAAATAAGACCAGGTCTCACAGCTGGTCGGCTGTAATAACAACCCAGAAACTCAGGTCTCCTAATTCACTATTCAGTCATCTCTCCATTCTCCCCTTAGAATTCTCCACATTCCCTTTCTCTTTAAGCTACTTACTGTATCTGTTTTCCACTTGTATTTTTAACAGTTTTAAAATCATACTCTTTGTCATTCCTGAAAGATGTTGCATGGACAATCATTTATCTCTGGGAAAGGGAGGCAGGATGATTACAGTGCTATCTTAGGGGTTAAGGTTTTAGTATCCCACTTCTGATCCTCCTTTTATCTGTTTTATATGTTGAATTTTTATATGAAGGTAAGTTTGAGAACAGTTTCTTAAAAAGTTAAAGAAATTGAGCTCGCTGAGCTCCAGTCAAAGGAGAACGAGATTAAGAGGTCTCTACACCGCGGCTCTTACAAAGCATACTGCCCACAAATCAACGGTTGGTGGTAAAGCACCAAGGAAGCAACTGGTTACCAAAGCCACTCACAAGAGTGCGCCCTCTACTGGAGAGGTGAAGAAACCTTATCATTACAGGTCTGGTACTGTGGCACTTTGTGAAATTAAGTGTTATCAGAAGTCCACTGAACTCCTGATTCGCAAACTTCCCTTCCAGCACCTGGGGCGAGAAGCTGCTCAGGACTTCAAAACAGATATACGATTCCAGAGTGCAGCTATTGGTGCTCTGCAGGAGGCAAGTGAAGCCTATCTGCTTGGCCTTTTTGAAGACACCAACCTGGGTGTTATCCATGCCAAACGTGTAACAATTATGCCAAAAGACATCCAGCTAGCATGCTGCATATGTGGAGAACGTGCTTAAGAATCGACTATAATGGGAAACTTCATTCTTTAAAAAAAAAAACTCTCTTCTTCCTGTTATTGGTAGTTCTGAATGTTATTTTTTTCCCATGGGGTCAAAAGTCACCTAAGCATAAGACTGCAAGTGGAAAATAGGAGACAGAAATCAGGTATTGGCAGTTTTTCCATTTTCATTTGTGTGTGAATTTTTTAAATATAAATGTGGGGACATAAAGCATTAATGCAAGTCAAGATGTTTCAGTGAACAAGTTTCAGCAGTTCAACTTTGTAACAATATAAATAAACGTGTTAAATTTTTCTAGACAATGCCAGCATTTGGATTCTTTCCAAACAAGTAAATTTCTCTTTGATGGCAACTAAATGGTGTTCAGAGCATTCTTATCATACAGTAGGTTCTATCCATTCACTCTACTTTTCTGAGTTGTTCTACAAGCAACTATGTTTTTAATGTTGTCTGTCTTCTGTGCTGTTCCTGTAAGTTTCCTATTAAAATACATTAAAGTATTAAAGTTTAAAAAAACCTACCCTAGCTATAATCTCCTTGATATAATATTTTAAAGAATGAAGTTTTCTTGTGTTAGTTCACTTTTAAAGCCCTACCCTTCAAATGACCTGCTTTCCTCTAACCCCCGCCTCCTATCTTTTTCATTCACATAAAGACTACTTATCACCCTGACCAGTGTGGTGTGGCTGGGCATCATCCTGCAAAAGGTCGCCAGTTCCATTTTCCGTCAGGGTCCATGTCTAGGCTGCAGGTTTGGTTCCCAGCCAAGGCAGGTACGAGGTAACCAATTGATGTTTCTCTCTCACATCAATGTTTCTCTCCCTCTTTTTCTCCCTCCACCAAATAAATAAAGTATCTTTTAAAAACTACTTATTAAGAAGACTCCTGATATCCATCGGTTTCAGTGGCTTAATGTATGTGTGTGTCTGCCTACTTTAGGAAGGTAGAAGGGTGTATCTTACCTGTAGGCGGGGCAAAATGATATCACAGACTCTCTCACTGTGTAGTAGTTCATCAATGAACTCATCTACGTGCATCAGTTCAAACTCTGAAAGAAAAATCACAAGCTCAGGCCCTGACTGGCATGGCTCAAGTTGGTTGAGTGTTGGCTGGCAAAGCAAAAGGTCACTGTTTCAATTCCTGGTAAGGGCACATGCCTGGGTTGTAGGCCCAGTCCCCAGTTGGGGGTGTATGAGAGGCAACCAATTGCTGTTTCTCTCACACACTGATGTTTCTCTCCTCATCCTTCTCCCTCCCTTCCCCACTCTGAGCCTCCCCCCAAATAATAATAAAATCTTTTAAAAATCATAAGCTCATGTAACTTGGAAATAAATTTAGATACCCAAAAAGTAAAAGTGTGATTTCTCTACTGCTGCTCTTTCATTAGTAAAGCTATTGTAGTGTGGTAATTACACAGAAGGGACTACTGTCAAAATGGGGCTTAAACTACAGCCCTCTGAAGCCCTGTCGTCACCATCTATCTTCATTCATTCAACCCGCCTCACTGAGACCATCTATGTGCCAGGCCTCATTTAGGAGCTGGGGATAATGGGATAAATGAAGGTGTCCCAATTAGCAGAAGAAACGAACAGAAAAGCAAGCAGAAATAGCTGTGAATTGTATAGGGGTAATGTTCTTGAATAAATCATATAACTAAAGTGTAATTTCTCATATGAACCACTATGTTTCTAAATAAAGAACGTGTATCTTATATGGTAAGTGGAGCAATTTCAGAATTTCTAAACATTATTTTAGTTCAATAGTTCACAACAAGGGGTGATTTTGCTCCCCATATCTAGGGTAGGGAGTGCTACTGACTTCTAGCAAGTGGGGGTCAGAGGTACTGTTAAATATCCTACAATGCACAGGACAGCTCCAAAAAAGAATTATCTGGCCCAAGTTGCCAAAGATTGAGAAACCCTATCTTAGTTTAGTTAACATATATCTTGTTCATCATGTTGTTTTCAATACATAGCACAGTACCTGGCATGACTTGGCACTTAATATGTATTTATTCAATGACTAAATTATTAAGTTAACAAAAGTTTAAAGTATAATTCCAAATTCTTAACCTTCTACTGCTAAATGATACATGTAGCAGTAGGAAGGGGAAAGGAAAAAAAAGTTACCAATATTTTATGACACTAAGCCAGAAAGAGTTTTGATTACAGTACCCCAATTTACCACTAATAGTGTCTCTTTGTAACAGGAGCTGTACTTCTTGGATATACTTATTATTTTTTAGTGGGGCTGCTACATAAATATGAGTAAGTACACAGTCTGTATACTGCAGTGGGAAGTATAGTGCTAGAGGAGAAGCCAGTAGAAAGAACTGTGAAGATACAACAGATAGAAAACTAACTTTGGGAGGTTTGGGGAAGGCTTTTATGGAGATCATTCTAGAGCTAGATCTTACGGGATGCAGCACGTGCAGAGGGAGCACATGATGGAAGGCTGGGATTAATATAAGATGCAGTTGGAAAGGTGGACAGACACAGCTGTCTGGTTAAGGCCAACAGGAAGCTAACAGACTAATGGAGTTCTCCCCATGAGAGAGAAAGGGGAACACTCACATAATGTACATGACAATGTGAGGGCAGGGACATTTGTGAAACAAAAACTAGCTCAAGGATGAAGTTTCAATCACATGGCAACATACTCACCCCCATTTCGATTCTGGCTTTTAATTTTCCTATAGTCATTGTACAGAGGCTCCAAGTACTTGTAGCAATCAATTGCAGTGCCTGTTAGCCTCATGTAAAGTGCTCCCAACATACGAACATACCTGACAGATAAATGACAATGAAACAACAGTTCATAAAGAGTTCTAAAAGATTATAAAAGTTCACCCTAAAAAGTTCCTGAATTTTACAACTGGCGTTTCTCATGACAGTACTGGATAAACAATTTTTTTTCTTTTCTTTGGCAGATGAGAGAACTGCAATTTTGGAGGCAGCATGGGAAAACAGAAAGAGGTAAATTATGCAGACCTGGGTTCAAGCTCTCATTCTACCATTTACTTACTGTGGGAATTTGGGACATGTTGTTCAACTTTCAGAGTCTATTACAGAATCTGCAAAACTAAGATAGAGCATATATACCTCACAGGATTATTTTAAGAATCAAATGAGATACGGAATTTAAGTACAGAAAATGTAAGATATATTTACTAACAATAAAAGAATACACATAGGCATGAATATAGATTGTTGCTAGGCAGCAGAATGTTTACTCTGGAAAAAAAAATTTAAGGTCATCTTGTTTCAAATTCTGATTCCATTACTTACTAACTTTATAACATCGGGCAAATTATTTGCTTTATCAATTTTTGTAAAATGCAGATAATAGCACCTAATTTGTTGGCATGGTATATTAAGTAAGAAATATGTGGCCCTGCCCTGGCTGGTGGCTCAGTGGATTGAGGGTCAGCCTGCGAACCAAAGGGTCACTGGTTTGATTCCCAGTCAGGGCACATGCCTGGGGTGCAGGCCAGATCCCCAGCAGGGGGTATGTGAGAGGCAACCACACACTGATGTTTCTCTCCTTCCATTCCCTCTCTAAAAATAAATGAGTAAAATCTTTAAAAACAAAAACAAAAACAACCCTTACAGAAAGAAAAGAAGAAATAAATATGGGGCCCTGACTAGGTAGCTCAGTTGGTTAGAGCACTGTCCTGATATGCCAAGACTGTGGGTTTGATCCCTGGTCAGGGCACATACAACAACCAACCAATGAATGCATATTCAGTGGAACAACAAATCGATGTTTCTTTCTCCCCCTCTAAACTCAGAAAGGAAGGAAGGAAGGAAATGTGTAAGGTACTAAGCATGCATATAGCACATAGTAAGAACCTAATAAAAGCTAGATATTTTCTAGATGTTCATGTTTAAGATTCCTTCCTTTTCCCTTTCTCTTATATCCAACTAACCATTCAAATCTTCACTTACATAATACAGTAGCAAAGAATACAACATCTGAAGCCAGCTTTGCCTCTTTCTAGCTGTCTGACCTTGGGGAAATTACTTAACCTCTTTGTGCATAAGTTTCCTCCCCTATTATAATGGGAATAATAATTTCACAGGGTTGTGAAGGTTAAATTATTATTTAAATGTGTTCTAAGAGGTAAATCTCTTAGAACACAGGGTAAACTATTATTATGTATGTCTCTCATACTTGTCTGTGAGTTCCTTGAGAATGGATAATAAAATAAGAGCAGCTCACATGTGTGATGTTTACTATGCAGCAGATACTGTGCTGTTAGACTTATAGCACTACCTTATGTAACGCTCACATCAATACCGAATTGATACTGCTGTCTCCATTTTATAGTGAAAAAAGTAAAACTTAGAAAACTGAGTTACTTCTCTTAAGGTCACGGTTAATAAGTAACCAAAGTCTGGACATGAACTTATATTTAACACCAAAGTTTTCCCTCTTATCTTCCCATAGTATGTTGTTTTCTTCACCCTTGAGCAACCAGTGGCTTTGTGAAATACTTTTCTTGGGGATGTTACCAGGATGGGAAAAGTAAAGATCAATTCCATCAACACAGACAAAATACAAATTCAAGAGTCAAAGCAAAAATCCTAGAGTAGAACTTTGTGGAAATGAGATAGCTTATCATTCCTCTTAACCAAAGTCAAATTCTGGACTACCGAAATACAAGGTTTTGTATTAGCTAGTCAACATTTCACTCACTTGAAGTCTTCATTTTTTATAAACTCAACAATGATATCCTTCTCCGGTTGAATCTGAAGCATCTTTAAGGTCAAACACAGAAAGGGTGTTGGCTTTATGTTGCCACCATAGACGCCACCCACAAACCTTAACTCCATGGCTTTATCGACTACAAGTTCAGCTAAAAACAAAAACAAAAACAAAAACAATGGCATCTTAGAATTTTAGGGCTAAGCTTTTCTGGGTTTGAAATGAAGAGAAGTTAGTTCAAGGTTTTGTGTTCCTGAATACTCATCAGTTTAACATTAGGAGAACAAGTATGCATTAACAGTCATATTATGATAATATGATAGATCATAGATATCATAGATATCATCAATATCATAGATAATGATGATAGCAGCTAACAGATACCAACTACTATATGCCAGGTACTGAGCTAAACATTTCATACCATTTTAGTTAATCTTCACAACAAATCTTGAGGTAGGTTCTAGCACTGCCTCTGCTTTCAGCTAAGGAAAATGAGGGCTAAGAAACGTTAAGTGACTGGCTCAGGGTCCACATGCAGAAAGTAGCAAGGCTGGATATAAATCTAAGTAGTTTAACTTCAGAGTCTACTCTTGTAATCATCCTACTGTAGAGAAAATAGCTACATTTGGAATTAAGAGTGAGATATAAGAATGTCTAAACCCATAGAGAATTTTTATGAACTTATCTGAGCCAAACTGTTGATATACTAGGAAGCAAGATCTCAAATGCTCTGGAGAATGACAGCTTTGCATTTCTTTTTATACATTTAGAATTAGGAAGGGAACTAAAGAAGATTACATGACATTGGGCAATCTTGAATTGCATTAAAGGATAGTTAACTTGATTATGTGTTCTGAAAAAGAGGCACACTCTGACATTTCAAAGGTGTGTTAAACTAGATGCATAAGAACAATGGGAAGGGCTTGCTTAAGACAAAGTTAAAACTTTTACTAAATTAGTTACAGACCTGGGGCATGACTATCCACAATGACTTGCCCAATTCTGAATTTATGATTGGAGCACACTGTGGGGTTACCTTCTGCCACTGAACATGTCAGATTTATTACAGAGCCCCTTTTTCGTTCACAAAAGAAAAAAAGCAGCCCTGGCTGGTATGGCTCAGTAGATTGAGCACCAGCCTGTGAACCAAAGGATGGCCAGTTAGATTCCCAGTCAGGGCACGTGCCTGGGTTGTGGACCAGGTCCCCAGTTGGGGGCATGCAAGAGGCAACCACACAATGTTGTTTCTCTCCCTCTCTTTCTCTCTCCCTTGTCCCTTCTCTAAAAAAAATAAAATATTAAAAAAAAGTGCACAATTAACAACTCTTCAATAGCCACATACAGTGTGTAAACCTCTTCTCATCTACAAAATGGGGATAATAACCTTCCAATGTTGTCAAAATCAAACACTAGCTGTATGAACTGGGACAAGTCACTTCACCTCTCTTTGAGCTTGTCAGTTCAAATTTAAATAATAAAGGCAAAAAGTTAAAGGGCTATAGTGAGAATCGAATGAGACAATACAAATAAATACTAATACTTACCTGACATATAGCAGGTAATAAATGTTACCTATCATTAATGGAAAATTTTTGTATATCAGACTTCAAGTTCCTTTAGGATAAATTCTGTATTAATTTATATAACATTACAGTTGACAACCTACTAGAGACAGAGATAGAGGGATAAAGAAAAGGGGCACAATTACTATTTTTACAGAGTTTACAGCCTGAAAAGTCAGAATGCATTGATGAGTAGTTAAATGAAGATGCAGAATATGATGAAAATATACAAGGAAACATTGCCTAACGGAGGAAAATAAGGTCCTGAGTTCACTTTTGAACTAGTGAGTTGACATGTCTTGGAATTAAGAGATTTAAGATCTCAGGAAGAGATCTGGGCTGGAGAGAGAAATATGAAGGCACCTACATATATAGTATGTAACTGTGTTATGGAGATCATCCAAGGAGAGAACTCTGTAATGAGAAAAGGGCCAAAAAGTAAACCTTACCTGACCATAAAATTTTATAGCGACTCAGAGCAACAATAGGACTGGTTCGCGGACACACAGCTCGTGGTGCTGGCGGCAGTGTAATAGAACAATATTTAATAGTGGTAAAAACTAGCACCACCAGTACCAGTGATTTCTGAATATACATTATTGCATTTAATCATTAGAACAACTCTTTGAGGTGAGTATTACACTCGTTTCACAGTGGAGGAAGACACGGCTCAATGAAGTAACAGAGATAGTAAAAAGAGGAGCCAGAATTCGAACAAAGATTAAAAGACTACCTAGGAGACTTCGCTCAAGAACTGATATTTATGTCAGGACCCGGGGAGGAAATACTACAAATGGTTCACATTTGAGAATAGTAAGATCATGAATATGGTTCCGGGAATGTTGCGTTTCCTTGAAGACTTTTGGGGTCCCCGAGTTCAACACTGCTTGAAACTCCGCAAGTTATCATTCAATATGGAACGACTCGAAGAACCCATGTGAGACACCATTCGTAATAAGACCCTATCATCTGTGCGCCCAAAGCCCAACACAAGTCTAGGCATATCCGAGGGGCTCATATTTTTCTGAATGACAGATTCCTTCCAGTCTCACGCCCACGGTCCAATCCTACCGGCGCCCAGTCAGAACTGGGCCACAAGGCGGCCGACAGTGGGGTCGGTGCGCTACCACTCACCCGTCAGTCCAAAACACTCCTCTTTCCAGTACTTGGATTCATAGATTCGAGTCCGAATGATCTTCTCCACCAGATACTGAGGGTTCGTGCCGTGGATACTGTGCGCATCCTTCACCGTACGGTTCGCCATTTTAGAACGCCTTCAGTTCTATTTCCGTCGGATCCTTTAGTGCGTCATATCCAGGTTTAAAAACACAAACACACACACACACACACGCACACACACAAACGGAGAAATGTGGAGGAAGTCTCACTTAAATAGCTCAGACGACCATCTTGAAATCGGAAACGCTGCAGCTTGAGGAACTTCCTTCCGCAAACGGGTGCGCCGATAGAATCGATGATGGCCACTGCACGTTGGCGTACGTACGTCATACGCCCCCTTTTAGGAGAGCGGGAAGGGAGGGCGGGCTGACTGGTGACGCAACGTGGAGACAGCATGGGGGCGGGGCCACGGCGTTTGGCGCGAAATTTTCTCTTCGCCTTCCTTCCATTCCTAGCTGAGATCCCGTTTCCGCCCCAGTCTGCGGCCCTTTCGCTGCAAGAGGAGTCCAGCTGGTTCAGGTGAGAGTTACTCGGCTCCACGAGCTCCTGAAGCGGAGACGGTGGGAAGTGGAGGGCTTGCTCCTAGCTTTGGGAAGCTTCAGCTTCCCGCAAGTGTGGCGTCCCACGGACTGGAGGACCTGAATCGCGGGGACAGAGGAAGTTGTTTGTAGACTCATTCAGGCATTGGTTAATTCAGCAGATATTTACTAAATGACTGTTAAGTGCAAAGCATCATTCTAAGTCCATTGTAAGCGTTCCTTTCCCACATCCCGATTGCCAAAAGGCTTCCCGCTCCGTCAGGGGCTGTGAGTTTGCAGTGGGGAAGCCGGAAGCCCACACAGAGAAGCTTGAGCATTTCTGCGCACAGAGCCCTGAGACTCAGTAATGATCTCAACCATACCTTCTCTCTAGATTGCCTTTACTAAGGGGCGCATCTTTTCTGCCTTTGAGCCACAATGTAGCAAGCACCACTGGGAAGTAGGAGCAACAGAAGTTATTACACCATTTTACGGACGTAGCAGTTGTGCCCAGAAACTTGTGTAGATCTCTTGCATAGGTCAAGGGAAGAAATGCCGAGTCAAGAATAAGAAAGTCAGAAAATGGTACAGAGGCCTGACATCTATGATTTCCTTATGCTGCCTCTTCAGAAGGACTCCTGCTAAATTTTTTGAACTTTTCATTGAAAAATAGCATACATACAGAAAGGTGCACAAATCATAAATATGCAGCTCAATGACTATTTATTGTTTGAATGTCTATTTTATAATCTCTTTCAGCTAATCTGCCAGTTTTAGAAATAGCAAGTCAGTGAGTTTTCTTAGAGAATGTGCCCGTTTAACTTGCATCTAGATCAATAAACAACATGACCAGCATCCCAGAAATACCCTTTTATGCTCCCTTTCAGTTACCTAAGTTACCCTCTATTCAGACTTCTAACATCATAGGTTTTTACCTGTTTTTGAATTTATATAAATGGAATCAATATAGTATGTATTCTTTTGATGTCTGATTTCTTTATTGTTATTTTGAGTGATTTTCCCTACTTTGTGTGCAGTTGTATTTTACTTAATTTCATTGCTTTATAATGCTGCTGTGAGCATTCTGATTCATGTCTTTTGATGATAGGTATGTTTTTTCTCTTGGGTATATTGTATTGGAATTGTTGGGACATAGGCTATGCATACATTCAGGCTTAATAGATAATGCGAATTTTCCAAAATGGTTTTGATAATTCACATGTCCTCTGGGAGTATATGAGAGTCCTGGCTGCTCTACATCCTTACCACACTTGGTATTGCCCTAATCATTTTTGCTCATTCATTGTTCATTCATCTATGTGCCAAGTCCTAACCAAGGCCCTGGGGATGCAGTTATGAATAAGATAGACAAAGTCCGAACATCTCTGCCCTTTTGGAAGTCAATATTTGAATGTGGGAAACACTAAATAAAAAAGTAACGTATTGGTTATTGCTTTGATAATAAGGTGGTGTAATGGAATGTGACTCTTGAGGGGCAGTATGAAGGACAGAGGTAGATAACTTTCCATTGTGTATCAGTGAAGGTGTCTGAGGAAGTTTCATTGCCACTGAGACCTGAGCCATCCTTACAAAGATTTGCAAAAAGAGAGAATAGCATACCTAAGTTTGTGGGCACTAACAGGAGGCCTGGAGCAGAGTGATAGACCCAGGTGAGGCAGGGTATGTAGTCCAGGCCCAGAGAGTCGTCCTTCCTATAGTCTCTGCTTGCTGAACCTAGGGTGAATCACCCACAGTTGCACACATTATGCCCATACGGTAGCCCCTCCTCATCTGCAATTTCAGTTTCCAATGTTTTAGTTACCTTCTTCAACTAAACAGTCTGAACTTTTCAACAGCCTGAAAATATTAAATGGAAAACTTCAGGAATAAAACCTTTGTTCTAAATTGCACATGGTACTGAGTAGCATAGTGAACTCTTGTACTGTCCTGCTCTGTTCCACACAGGACTTGACTCATCCTGTATCCAGCATATCCAGCTGTATATACTACCCATACGTGGGCCAGCTACGTTGTCAGATATTTTGAGAGAGAAAAACCACATTCACATAACATATTACAGTACATTGTTGTTCTGTTTTATTATTGTTAATTTCTTACTCTGCTTAATTTATAAGTGAACCTTTATCATATGCATGTATATATAGGAAAAAACAGTATATATGTATGGGGTTGGGTATCCACAGTTTCTGGCATCCATTGTTGGGGGGGGGCCTTTGAATATTCCCTGGGGATAAGGGGAACTACTATACTAGTCTCCTTGAACACAGCTCATAATCTCTTAGAAAAGGAATGTTAAATTTTATCTTAACTTGGTTTTGAAGGATACCTGCTATAGTAAGCTAAAATATGGTCTGGATTTAAAAGAGTTGAGAGCATAGATTTGATGCCTTTAGTGGACATGAATACCTTATTGGTATGGAGGTGGTCCTTATGTACGCTAACTTTTGGTTTGAAGAATGAGATCATTGTGCCAGTGTGATCAAATATCATAGACCAAGTGACAAATCAGGCTATTTATCCTATAGTTCAATTATTTAAGAGTTGTAGAAAGTTTGCTGAAAGATACTAGTTTGCTGCAAAGCACTCTTGGTAATATTCCAATATTTTTTAATGACAGAGCTTAGGAATAACATGATTTACTTGCATATTTTGTATCTTAGGAGCCTATTTTTCCTGATTCATTGTGGAAAGGTGAAAAGTTCCAAGTTTGCTTCTCACAGTTCTGTGTTATATCATCCATTAAAAGAAACAAATATTGAAGGTAAGCTAGTGTTATATATTTCCTTGAACATTTATTGAGACTCAAATACTTTTGCTAATTTTTACCAAAAGATTATATGAATCTATATTCACTTTTTACTTGAGCACAATCTTCTCCTTGTTTTTACTCAGTCTTCTTTGCTGTTTGTTCATTTCTAGAATGTACTTGATTGAAATTAGATCAATTTTTAATAGTACTGTGTTGTGAATTATATTATTGATGTTCTTAATGGCAGTCATTCAGGTATCATTTGTAAGCTGTATACTGACTAATGACTCAATATCTTCCCTTCTTTTTGCTAATTAGTTTCCACAGGGTATACTAAAAAATACTTTTTTTTAGCCCTGACCAGTGTGGCTCAGTTCGTTGGGTGTCATCCTGCAGAGTGAAAGGTCGCTGACATGCCTGGGTTTCGGCTTGGTCCCTGGTCAGGCATGTAGGAGAGGCAACTGATTGATGTTTCTCTCCCTCTTTCTCCCTGTCTTCCTGTCTCTCTAAAAACCAATAAATAAAATCTTTTTTAAAAATAATTTTTTTAAAGTAGAAAACCTTATTGATCAAAATGTTCTCAAGTATTATGTAGGACATAACGCTACTGGACTTAGGAAACCAGCTGGTTTAATCAGGATCTTAAAATACTATTCTAATTCTGTTGTTTCTAACATAAACTGCAATTATTGGTCCCACTATCAGTATTTTGGAGTAATTTTGTCAGACTGGATTTGAAAAAAAATTTTTAAGCCCTGGCTGGTGTGGCTTACTAGATTGAGCACTGGCCTGTGAACCGAAAGGTCACTGGTTCAATTCCCAGTCAGGGCACATGCCTGGGTTGTGGGCCAGGTCCCCAGTAGAGGGTGCATGAGAGGCAACCACACTGATGGTTCTCTCCTCTCCCTTCCCCTCTGTCTAAAAATAAATGAATAAAATCTTTAAAAAAAAATTGTTTACCACCATCTTGTCAAATTTTAGTTCCATAGGAAAGGCATTGAATTTAGAGGAAAGGCTTATTTCCTTCCTTCGTTCCTTCCTTCGTTCCTTTCTTCCTTCCTTCCTTCCTCCCTTCCTCTTTCCCTCCCTCCCTCCCTCCCTTTCTTTCTTTTATTGTTATATGTCAATTATTTTGTATTAGTTTTAGGTGACAGCATAGTGGTTAGACATTTATATAAGGATTATTTTCTTAATTATTTAAACTAAAATAATAGGTCGGAATTATTATTAGGACTAATAGATTGTAGTTTGCAAATTTTAAAGAGGATTGGCATATGTGTTTGGATTTTTCAAACAAAAATGTCTTTTCCCATGTACTTTAATAAAGCTTTTTTTTTTTTCAGCTATTCAAAATACGTACTTACATCTAGGACCTGTTTGCTGCAAACAATAATACCCCTAACATCTAACAACTGTCAAAGCAATACAGGTTAGTGATACTTAAAAAAAAAAATTTTTTTAAGACAGAGGGGGTGGGAAGGAGAAAGAGGGGGAGAGAAACATTGATGTGAGAGAAAAAAATGAATCAGTTGCCTCTCATATACGCCCTGACTGGGGATGAACCCACAACCTAGTGTTTACCCTGACCAGGAATCGAACTGGTGACCTTTTCACTGAACCAACCAACCGAGCCACACCAGTCAGGGAAATGACACTTTTTTTCCCCTTTAATGTAAGTGGAATAATACACTTAATAAAACCCATTGCTATTCCCCCAAATACTTTTTGCATGTTTTTGCCTCCATCTCTTGGAATACCTCATTTCATTCCATCTTATCATTATCTGCTTATTATTTAGTATTCATTTCAAGAAACCCATGTAGGAATCCCTCCCCTGAGTAGCCACAAGACCTTGCAGTGGTCTCTATGGCTCTTTTTCTTGGCTTTTCGCACTAGTAGTTGTCCTTTGGTGCATTTATAGTTTATCCCTATAAATTCCCTTTCTAGCTTGTGTTGCAGAGGCACTTAAAATCAACCACTGTATCACTGTGTTTTAGTTTCAAGTTGTTAGATGTTTCATACCTATCACTGTACCTTGTACCTAATAAGTACTTTTGAACATTTATATTGCAGTTTCATTTTTTATGTTTTGACTCTCCTGTTTCCCTGGATGGAAAGAAATAGACATAATATAAGACATACATGGATGTTTCTAAATTGCTCTTGCTTAATCTTCATAGAGCTTGACTTTTCAAAAAAAAAATGTTTTTTACATCTAAAAGATGTAGGAGTGTAGCGGGGGCAGAAAAGAAGGTTGGATTCGTTGAAGGCAGGGATTGTGTCCTGTAATCCATCAAAGTGTTTTTGTGTTAACTCTGAGTTAGTGACTTTTACACAGGAGCCATGGCATACCGCCTAACAAGGCTGAAGACCAGACAGACTTATTCGTGTGTTGGCAACCCACTGTTGGATCAAAAACTACACTACCAAACCTACAAGTGAGTGATTGATTTGTTTGTCCTGGAAATATAACTTCTCTAGGCTAAACTGTTAATAACTTATATGTAGCCTTTTCCAGTTACTATAGATTGAGGACTGAGGCACAGTAATTATGAATTGATTGTAGAGAGGTTTGATGCAAGAAAATGGTAGCATAAATATACCAGTTATTGATAAAGGAGGACATTGTCAGGTTAATAAGTTTGATATGTATGATAAAGTCATATCTATTTAAAGTGGATTCTATGTAATTCTGCATGATAACAGGATAGGATTAGATGTTGTTATATGTCCTACCAGCCCTAGGGATCCCTGATTAATTTGAAACTGTTACTGGGCAGCTTTCATGCCTTCAGAAGCCTTTGTTCTTTGTTAATAACTGAGAGAAGTAGGGTTCATATTAAGGCTTCTAGATTAACCATTCATACCTACACAATTTATTCAACCCATTTTGTCTACTCTTACATAGAACTGGGTGATTTGGTTTCCTATTAGGAGAATTCATCAGCAGAGAGAAACTATTTAGGGGATTTTATAGTTAGTGAACATTTTCTTTTGTGCCCAGAGGGTCTGAAGAGCTTGGTCCCCCCTAAGTGATTTTCAACACATTCTCCTTTTACTTCCTAGAGAAATGAGCATGACGTCAGATGGTTGTTCAACTGAGAGTCACATCCAGGTTGGACAGTTTGTATTGGTTGAAGGGGATGATGATGAAAATCCATATGTTGCTAAATTGATTGAGCTGTTTGAAGATGGTGAGTTTCAGGTTGGGATGAAAACCATTCCTTGTCATGAATAATTGGGAAGTGCTAGGTGGGAAGAGAGGCAGTTAACTGATTCCTCTGTTCACAGCAGCATATAGTGTGTGAACCCTAGATTGTGAGGTGGGGTCACTTTAGCACTAGCTATACCCTCTTCCACGTAGTGAACTTCCTTACTCACTAGAACAGTATTAGATAAAAGGGGATTGGGGAGGGGCTCAAGAATTTAGCTTTTCTATTATTTTTAGGACTGGATAAGACTGGCCATTAAGGCAGGATTTTTGGAATGGAACAAAAGGATGAATTCAGGAAGAAGGGGGAAGAAAAAAAAATAGGTGATTTGCTCTATGTTAGAGACTTGTCCTTTAATTTTGGCAGGAGAAAGTTAGGAATGAATTTTGCAAATTCAAATTCTTAATGAGCAAGGAGATAAGTTGAATTGGTATGAGTTGATGTTCAGTCAGTAAAACAAAAACACTTTAGTAGGTATTTTACCCAGAGGGACTTGTGTATAAGTGTTGAAGAGGCTGGAGGAACAAAAATATTGTTGCGCAGAGATCAGTAAGTGTGGAAAGCCACTACTGCCCCTAAAACTGGAAGAGCAAAAGGGAAAGCAGTGTGAACCAGAGCCTGCAGGTCCACAATCATTGCTTCAGCTGATCTCTGAGCCTTTAACCAGCTGCAAAGCAAAGAGCACAAAAAGGTAGGAATGGGGGAGAGCTCGAAAAGGAGGATTAAGAAGAACTTGAAACTACACAGAACTGCCTCTGCCAAGAGCTGGAAGAGGAATGAGAGGTATTTAGTTTTGTGGAAGTTTGTATGCCTAAAAGAAAGAACTGACAAAGTGGGTGGATAAAGTTGTTTCTACATTACCTGGATAGGAAGGTTATTTGAGAAGTATAGAGGAAAACCTCATCAAACTAATATCCAGTAGGGGGAGCACCTCAGCAGTATGGACTTCTGTATTGGAAGTAGTGGCCCTTGTGTACAGATTTTAGAATCCTTGTGTGGTGCCTCAGTCTTTCTCTGAAAAGTTAAGAAGGAGAAGAGGTGATGATGGTGGTGGCACTGGAGAGTATGTCCTTTCATTTGGAGCTAATGCTGGTATGGAGTGATATTAATGGTATATCACAATGGTAGAACTGAAGATTGCAAGCCTATGTTTGCCAGAAGTCATCTCAGGGGCTGACGCTGTGATTCTTGCCAGGATTTTTGATTTTCTGCTGTTTGATGGCTTCTTTCTAATCACTATTTTGTAAGATTTGTTCTGTGCCCTTGATTAGAATTGCTTCTTTCACGTGCCTTTTGTAATTTTTTTTTGATGACTGATAGCCACCATTAGGAAGTGGAGCAAAGTGAGGAGAACTTGGGTCCTGGGTTGGGTCAGATTACTGCTGTTCTTGTGACCATTGACAGATTTTTTTAAGGTCCCTGTAACTTGATTACTTTGCCTGTAGAAGGGAGATAGCCATTGCCCCTACCTTGTAGGGTTATTGTGAGGATTAAAATAATAGGTTAATCAAGTATCGCCAAGTGCTTAGCAACAGTGTCTGACACATATGAAGTGCTTAATAAAATATTCTCTCCATTTTCTTAACCTTCCCTTTTCTATCTCCCTCCTAGATTCTGAACCTCATTTCAAGAAACGTGCTCGAGTACAGTGGTTTATCCGATTCTGTGAAATCCCTGTTGGTAGACAGCGTTTGCTGGGTCGAAAGCCTGATGCACAGGAGATATTCTGGTATGATTACCCTGCCTGTGACAGCAACATTGATGCTGAGACCATCATTGGCCCTGTGCGGGTAGGTGATACCTTGACTCTCAGTGCTCTCTTGAAGCTTAGTTCTGTCTGCCTGCTAAACTGCGTGTCCCTAAAAATTATTGCTGACTCTAACTTACCCCATGGAAATGCACTTTTTGCTATTCGTCGTCTTCCCTGCTTGTCTACCTTCTTCAACTCAACAGATATTTACTGAGAGCACTTATCATGTGTTAGGAGCCTCCTGGAGGGATTGATATTTAGGTTGTGACCTGAGGGATGAATAAGAAATAGCAAATGTACCTCAGTGGGAAATTACACTTAGCTATGATTGTGGTAGGCATGAAGCATTGCAAGAAGTTGAATACACTTGCTTAAATGAGGACTTCACCTGCAGTTAATCAGTACAAAGAGTGCTAGTTACTAGTTACTACGGGCAAATTTGTGTTAGTGGAGTTTTATGATAAATCAGGGTCCAGTGAACTGTAGGCTGAATTGAGACACTGGTTTAGAGACTAAGATATGGGCTATTCCTTGAGCTACTTCAAGCCCCAAATGAGATTAGAACATGGTGGGAAGTGTGGTCTCATGGTGGTTAGGTGGTTGGTTTCATGGTAGTGCAGAAAGACTTGGTCTGGCATGACTGTAGTCAGATTTTTCCAATCAGGGCCCCGAGTGAAGGAAGGAAAGCCAGATGTAGATGTTGGAGCAGCAAGATGGGTGGATTTGGAAAGGCAGAGAGGGAAGTGGGTGTTTCGGCAGGAGCACGATGGTGAGAATGAGCAGGACTGTGACAAGTCAAGCTCAGCTAGATGGAAAACCATTTTGAAGAGTACTGAGCACTCAGGAGGTAAAATGGGGCCAGATTTTAGAAGGCATTGAAAATCAGTTTAAGTAATCTGATCTTGCTATAATGCGGAGCCATTGTAGACTGTTGAGCAGTGGAGCATGCTTAGAGAAGTTTTGCAGGGAAATTTGGCATGGCTGAAAAGAATGGTCTGGAAAAGAAAGCAGCATGGGGCATGGATATCAGCATGGAGGAGTCTGGAAATATCCTGTGCTATGGCTGTGCCTCTTTAGTTTGGAAAAGTAACGTTCTAGATAAGAATACAGAATTAAATGCTTTGTAATCATAGCTCTCATGGGGCATTCCATAGGTATTTTGGTCCTCATTGCTTTCTATTTACTTGTACTTCCTAAATTCAGGTAGTAGCTTTAGCCCCAGATGAAATGTTACCTATGGATCTGAAAAATGAGAAGACGCTCTTTGTGAAACTGTCTTGGAATGAGAAGAACTTCAGACCACTATCCCCAGAACTATTTGCAGAGTTGGATAAGCTACAGGAAGGCAGTCCTAGATGCTGGAAGCCCGTGGAAGCCAAGACTAACAGCATAGAAAGCCCTTCTTGGACCACAGCGGAGCGTATGGTCAGAAGGATTGAATCAAGGCACTCCACCTCCAAATCTCACCAAACTCCTACCCATCCTGTTACCCCAAGGGCAAGGAAGAGGCTAGAGCTTGGCAGTAAGTGTGGAATGGGTCACAGTGGGCAACACTGAGGCTAAAGGAATATGGTAAAATACTAATTCATACTACAGTATTAAGTTAGTTCAACAGTGGGCCCGGTGCAGATTGGGTATGTGTTAAAATATATATAACAGAAAATTCAACATTTTAATCTATTTTAAGTGCACAGTTTACTGACATTAAATATGTTCACACTGTTGTACAGCCATCACCATCATCTTCCAACCATTAAACAATAACTTCTCATTCCTCCGTCCTTTGGCAGCCACCATTCTACGTCCTATCTCTGAATTTGACCTCTCAATACACTTCATAGAAGTGGAATGATACCGTATTTGTCCTTTTCTGACTGGTTTTATTTAAGTTAGCGTAATATCCTCAGGGTTTATCCGTATCGTATTATGTGTCAAAATTTCCTGCCTTTTTATGGCTGAAATAAATATTCTGTTGTATGTATGTATATAAAACATTTTATTTATCCATTTGTCTGTGAATGGACATTTGGGTTCCTTCCACCTTTTGGCTGTTGTGACTAATGCTGCTGTAAATACAGGTATCCAAATATCTGCTTGAATCCCTGTTTTTCTTTGGGTATATATACAGAAGTGGAATTACTAGATCGTATAATAATTCTGTTTTTAATATTTTCAGGAACCATCATACTGTTTTTCATAGCAGCCATACCATTTTATATTCTCACTACCCATACACAATGGTTCCTATTTCTCCACCTCCTGCCCATCATTTGTCATTTTTCATTTTTGATGTAGCCATCCTAATAGGTATGAGATGGTATGTCATTGTTATATTTCTCTATGATTAGTGATACTGAGTCTTGTAATGAGCTATTTTTTTTAAGATCTCTGCTACTAAGGTGACACTGCTTTTAGAACCCCAGTAGAAGAGTTAAGAAACATATATTTTAAAACTCTTGAAATCATACTGACTAATCTATAGACCATAGGGCCCTTCCTCTTCCTCCCATAAACCATAATTGTATCCCCCTTCTTTAGGAAGAAGAGCCCTGGTTCCCAAGAGCAAGCCTGATACACATGAAAGAGTTTCACAGTAGCTATACGAATACTACTGCCAGCAGTAGACTTACCAAGTAAAAGTTAAAAATGTATTTGTAATACTTTATGCCTTTGAAATATATTCCACTGAGGGAGTAAAGTTGATTAAATTTTTTCTTCTGATATTTACATAATTGGTGATATACAGTTAGGTTCTTTTATTCCTGTTTATTTTTAGGGCTTTTCCATCTTTGATTTATTTTTTCAGTCATGTAAAATGTTAACATGGTTAAAAAGTCAAAACTATTTAAAACAAATGAAATGTAATCAGAGAAACCCTAGTCCTTTACCCTCACATCCTGTTTCTACCATATTTTGTAGGTGATCAGTTTTATTAGTTTCTGGTTTATTTTGTGGTTTTTTAATTTAATTTTTTTTTTTTGCAAAAATCATATGTATAAACACATACATACACACACACATATACACACATACATACAAACATGAATATAGTTTTATTTTCCATTCTTACTCAGTATTCCGTAGGGTAGCGTACTGGGTATATTATTTTCCATCTTTCTTTTTTCACGTATAATGTATCTGAAAGCCACTCTGGCTGTTCTGAGAGCTTTTCTTGTTATGTGTCATTAGTCTTTTTGAATTTTTATGCTAGATGCCAAGTCTGTTGGGTATAAGTTGTTTGTAGTTTTGATAGCTCCTTAGTACAGTGTGTGTTTAGGAACTGAATATAAATATATAAAACATTCGGGAAATGCAGAAACACTATAAAGGAATAATCTGTAATATCACCATTCAGAAATAATTGCAGTATTTTTTGACTGTTGATTTTGTAGGACATTGAAAGTTAGAGTAAGAAATTGACCCAGTTACATAATTAGAGGAGGGAGGATATGAGGAAAATAGTTTAGATGAATTGTTTTTGACAGAACGATGGAAAAATGAGGCATGAAGGAGACCGGAATATTAGGACATTTTTATATTAATTGATAACCTGAGTTGTTCTCATATTTACCAAAAAGTTTTATCATTTTAGCTTCATGTTCAAAGACTTGTAAGATCTGGCCCTAGAGCATTTTAAAGTCAGAGTTATTGAGGTATAATTTACATATAGCAAAATTTTTCTCTATGGTGTGCAAGTGTAAAAACAGTTCTACAAGTTTTTACAAATGCATAGAGAATGTGTAACTACCACCCTAATCAACATATAGAATAGTTTCATCACCCCCAAGTTCCCTTGTGTTCTTTGTAGTCAACCAGCCTTTCCCTCACTTCCTGGTAACCACCAATCTGTTTACTGTTTCTGTAGTTTTGCCTTTTCCAGAAGGCATAAAAATGGACTCACACTGTGTGTAGCCTTTTGAGTCTGACCCCTCTAACTTAGCATAATGCATTTGTGATTCATGCATGTTGCTGAATATGGCAGGAATTTCTTCCTTTTTTATTGCTATATAGTATTCCATTATGATTTATCATAGTATAGCTACTCCCAGTTTAAGGACGTTTGTGTTGTTCCTAGTTTTGGGGGAGATTGTAAGAAAGCCACTGTAAACCTTCATACATAGGCACTACATGACTCTTCTTGTCTTATCTGTTGCTACTCCTCACATGCCATATGCTGTGACTAAAGTGAACTCTATGCCCAGTGCTTTCTTGCCTTATTGTCTTAGTTCACATCGATCTCATTTATTCTCCTCATATACCTCTCCTTCCCTTTTCGACGCTGTTGAAGTTTTGCCTTTCTTTCATGTTCTATCTGAAAAGCCATCTTTATTAGCACTTAGGTGCTTTAGGACAATTATTTTTCTTCATACTATAGACATCTACGTATATCGTCTCCCATATTAGACTGGAGTGTCTTGCAGTTGAGGACCAGGATTGTTTCATTCAACTTTGGTTATCTCTGAGCACCTGGCACACGCCTTGCCATTTTAACAGCTCAGCTGATGTCTGTGAATGAATGGCAGGTTCTTGGTGCCTGTGCTCGTGGCGAGAGAGGAGCAAATCCTAAGGTGGTTCTCACTGTGTATTCCCTGAATCCAGCTGGTTAACCCCAGGATCCATGTCCTCTCTATTGGTAGGTGTAACCTGAGTTAAGAAAAAGCTAGCTAGGCCTTGGTGTTACCCAGCAGCCACTGGTATAATTTTTTTCAAATGCTGTTGCGTGGGGGCTACAGATACGCAGTTTTACCCCTGATTGAAAACCACTGTTATGGTAAATTACTTCAGAGAAATCTGATTCAACATTGTCTACAAAAGCTGACTTAATAGTTAACTTATGGTTCTAACTAGGAAAATCACCCACAGAATTTAGGAAAGGGACCAAAAATAATACAGCTACCTGGCCTGGGAGTGCAAATCATGGAATAATTCAAAAAATGGGTAACTGATGTCTTCATATACCTTCAGTGACTGAATTTAACTATAATGATATTGGGAATGTGTATAGTACTGGTTATAAAATTTACGTATTATCTGGTGATTTCTCTTGGGCCTAGGATTCCCTATGATACTTAACACTGGGATTTCCCAGCAGACTTCCTGGGCCTCTTTGGATTCTCCCAGGAGAATTAAACGGAAAGTGGCCTCAAAGATCACTTCACCTTCTAAGAGGTCTCATCCTGATGTACTTCAAACCTCATCTCCAGGACTGAAAGCCCCAGAGGAAACTGGGGAGCTTAGACGCTCTTGTGCTGAGGACAAGAAGGCTTCACATGAATGTCACATGACCTTGAGAACCCGAGTCCCAGCTTTGAAAACCAGAGAAATCAGTGAGAAAATAACACTTGAGCCTTCCAGCGGGGGAAAGAGGTCGTCGGTGGTGCCCTCTGTGGTTCTGAAACCAGAAAAGATTAAAAAGAGGTAACTGGGATGTTACTCTCCTTCCCACAGAGCAAATCTAGATGGTTCATGTGATGGGAAATGTTTGGGTCACAGTCAATAAAGTTGGAGCATTGGGTCGTAAATCCGAATGTCATAGAATCACCAGGAGCTTTTCCAAATTACAAATTTCTGACCCTCTTTTCAGTCTCCAAATGGTGGGCCAAAACATCTGCATTTTTGAAATGCTCTTTGGATGATTCTGGTATACCCACCTGTCCTTTAGGGATCACTGTTTCAGAACACAGTTTCCCCAACCTGAATTGCTTCAGAGCCCTGGATTTCATTACTTGCTCTTTGACACATTTTAACAGCCATGTTCTTAGGTTTTTGTTTTTGTTTTTGTTTTTGTTTTAAACTGGAAACCAATCTCAAATACATGTAGTACCAGAAGATAATGCATTTAGAACAAAATTTACAGTTTGCCACTAGACAGTGTTTGTAAATAATGGACCCCACAAATAATGTGAGAGCCAGAAATTACTCATTTCAGTGTTTCCTACTCAGAAACTCCAGCACCCAGAAACCTCAAACACTATAGGTTTGCTTTATAAATGCTTTGTATTTAATATATAGCTATATTTCTGCTAACCTTGAGCTTGGTGGACCATGAGTTCATAGATATGTCAGAAAGAAAAAAAGACAAGAAACTCTGCCTGGGATTGGAATATTTTGGTCTTTAATTGGGGAGATGGTGAGTCTGATTTAAATGATAAGCTTTAAGCAAATTTTGATCTCTGGGTTTGAGTCAAACTTCAATTATAAACTTCAAACGAAGTGATTAGCTCCTGTAAGAGGAATAGAAGGAAGTCAGGCCACCTGACTGTATTCTAGTGTCTGCCGCTGATCCCTAGTGCCCAAAACTACTTTTCTTAACCTTGCTGTGATATCTTGCAGGGAGACAAAACCACCAGAAGCTCAGGATGAAGCTACCTCCACTCCTCATCGGATCCGAAGAAAGAGTTCTCAATTGACTTTGAATCGGATTAGGCAGCAACTGCGGTAAGAGTGCTCCTTGGCTAGCAGAAAAATGTTTCTCATTGCCATCTATGATATCTATAATCTTATTTCTTAAAGCCTCTTATAGTTCTTGGTTGTTATTTGCTATTCCATCGAAATTCATCTTTTTACCTAGTATGTCTGGAATTATGTTAATTTCACATAAATGTCATAGTTTGAAAGGGGCGAGAAACATGGCCCCATAATCACACCTAGTAAGACTGTTAAGATGTGATTGAACTTTGATTCTGTTAGTCTTGCATTTGAAACTGAGCTTTGTCATTTATTATCTGTGTAGCCTACGAAAGGTTATGTAAGCTTTCTAAGCATCAGTTTCCTTGTCTATAAAATGGCAATAATAATATAGAGTCACAAAATACTATAAATAAAGCCTTTAGCAGAGCACCTCAGTAGCAAGGAAGTGGAGTGCATCTTACATTGCTTAGCCACAAGAGAGACTCTGCAACATCTCTAATTTACACTGACCTGTTAGGGCCCTTCTTAGACTTTAAACACTGAATATCAGAAAATGTGCCCCACCATTCAGGTTTTTAGGTGATAGTAAAAATGACAAGGAAGAGGAGGAGTTTCTGCCGGCAGCGGAGATTTCAGACTCTGATAGTGAGAAGGAAGAGGCTTCGACACCACCCCTTCCGAGGAGAACACCCAGGAACCTACACTCTTCCACGAAGTCATCCTTACAGACCCTCTCTAAGACACCAAAAAAAATCGTAAGGTTCTTTTAACTTTATTTTCCAGTGAAGCGTCCCTTTCTTAACTTAAAAATTGTGATGGCTGGGGTCACTCTATTACTAGTAGCTGGATTCTGAACACAGGTCTGTTATATTCAAAGCTATTTCACTCAGAATATTCATGAGCCCTAGGGCTGAAAATGAATCCAGTAGATAGTGACTTTTGAATACAAGTTCCATTTAAGATTCAGAACCCAATGTCTAAGAGCCAAACTTCCAGTGGGAAGGACAAGAACTGGCTCTTCCTCTTTGCGTTTCCCACAAAACCCAGCAGAGTGCTTTGTGCATTATCAGTGCTCACTGGGTATTGAATCCAGGGCTGCTGAGCCATGTTGTTGGCTTTGTGCCACTTGATACACCTGACAAACAGGGAGCGCTTACTCAGGTATTGGTAAGGACCTGTGTAATGGCTAAGATTAAAGAAATAAATGGATGTCTTTGCTTTACATGGAACTTTAGCAGAATGTTGAAAGCTATTAAGAAAGGAGTCTTCCGATACTTACTTGGCGGGGGGGTACCATGATCAAGAAAAGAGTCTTCCCGTGTTCAAATGTGTATGAGAAATGTTTAGTTTACACAAAGTTAGATTGGTTTCATTATCACATGACTTCTCAAGGACATTAACTTATTAATGTTATTTTGACCTTCAGGGAGAGGGTTAGAGTAGGGTTAGCTTTGACCAACTAACATTTTTTCTGAAGAATATTGTTCTTTGGAACACCTAGGAAAGGAGATCCCATAGATCACTTTTGGGCTTGAGGCAGTCTTACCTGGAATTCTTTATTATGCAAATAGTTTGCCACCTTCTACTATGATTTCATCTCCTGGGTCCCACCCAGAAGAAGAGATATAACAGGTGAGGACATCTTTAGCAAAATAAGAAGTCAGAAGTCCACCACATTTTTGATACCTTCTCAGCAAGATTTTGTTATTCCTTTCCTGTTTTCTCCAAAGTTAATAGATGTTAAATCAGTAAACAAGGTCTAAGGACGTTTTCTGCCTGAGAAAAAGGTGGAGAGATTGTTATATCACTCTATAGCCTGGCTGGAAGCCGCGGGTAGGTAGGTAAAATGCTCCACTGAAGAGAGTGCTCTGGAAACATCATGTTTCCATGCAGTAGCAGGCCTGCTGTAGTGAGCCAGCAGCAAGGGAAACGAGAGATGAAGGCTTTAGCCTAGAGTGAGCAGTGACGCTGGGTTTGGAGTGGAAAAATCTGTTGAGATTTCTCCAGATACTGTATTGTGGAAGTCTTGAGCTAAAGTTTGACCGTATTTTCAAAAAAATCTAGAGGAAGATCCTATAAATCAAACCAATTTATGCCTCCTACTCTATAGTTGGGTAGAACATTAGGATTTCTGCATAATTTGTCTTTCTTTCAAAGTATTGTTTTTCTTTTAAATAGTATTTAATCTCTACTTTCATCCATTCTTTCCCCAGATTGACATTGTTTTCAAATCCTAATACTGGGTATAAATAGAACAAAGAAATCTTGTTTAGACTGTGAACAAAGTGTGTGTGTGATATGTGGAGAGAGGTGGACAATTATGGATACTTTATAGATAAAAGAACTAAGAGGAATTCATCACCTCTTTTCTTTTTAGCAGGTCATCAGAAATCAGATTTGCTGATGTATCCTGAATGATACTTTATTTTTTGTTTTTCTTACTGAAATATATTTCTCTCTCTCTGTCTCTCACAAATAAAGCCCAAACCTAGAATGCCACATTCTGCTACTCCCCAGATCCGCAGCCGAAACCTGGCTGCCCAGGAGCCGGCTAGTGTGCTAGAGGAGGCCCGGCTAAGGTAACACTGATCGTGGGCTCCTTTCCGATAGGAAGAATATGGGTCCTTGCTTTTGTTCACATGAAATAGGATTAATAGAGTAAAATGAATATGTGTGTTGAGAAAGAACAACCCCCCCCCCACCCCCAAGTAATTTCTGGGTCATCTAATATGGACAGGTTTTAAAAGGAGTAACCTTCCAGTCTACTGCCGTCATTTTCTCAGGGATGGAAGGTGATTAGTCAGGATACTGCTTCTCAGTTATTGGTACCCTTTAGAACTATGTTGGGACTTTTTCAAAATATACAAGCATACATCCTGCCAGAAATCAATTGAATTAGAATCTCTTGTGGGATGAGGTCTATACATGTGGTTTGGAGAAATCTTCCCAGCTGACAGGTACCCTTGCTTAGAATCACTGAGTTGGTGATTTGGGTGGAGAAAGGGATTAACTATGAGGCTATGTGAAGAGATTTGAAAATGAAACATTCCCTTGGATTTGTGATCAAGGTTTTATCTAGAAACAATAGATAAATCTTTTCCATTTATTATTGAGTATATAATGAAGTGCTTCTAAAGTTCTCCTTTCCCTTGTTTAGTCTGCATGTTTCTGCTGTTCCTGACTCTCTTCCCTGCCGGGAAAAGGAATTCCAAGATATCTACAACTTTGTGGAAAGCAAACTCCTTGACCGTACTGGAGGGTGAGTCATGCTGAGCCAGGTAGGATGGTTGAGGAAGAAGGCTTTTGCTAGCATATACCCTCAGGTGTCATAGTTTAACCAAAATGTCTTTCCCCAGTGTCAGGAGAGCAGGCAAAGTTGTTGCTGAAGCCTAAGCTTCTGAAGCAGCATTTGTTGTCAAAGTCATCCTGTAGGAAGTAGAAACTCTGTTTTCAGAGAAAAATGAAACTGGCCATCTTTGGATAGGCCGTTTGCATGCAGCATTCCTTGTGGAATCAATGATGCTATAGAAATAGGTCCTGCTCTGACCAGCTTCCAAGAGTGTTCCTTACTTCCCCCACATCCGCATTTCAAGGGTCTTGGTCCTTCCTTCAACACATATTTGCACGCTTCGAACTGGTGATAATGTGAGGCAGCTGGCACAGACCTAACCCACGTGTCTTCCCTTTTGCTTAGGTGCATGTATATCTCCGGGGTGCCTGGGACGGGGAAGACAGCCACTGTGCATGAGGTGATGCACTCCCTGCAGCAGGCAGCCCAAGCAAAGGATGTTCCTCCCTTTCAATACATAGAAGTCAATGGCATGAAGCTGACGGAGCCCCACCAAGTCTATGTGCAAATCTTGCAGGTAACCAAAGCAGTTTGGGTTTTTTGGAAAACACAGTTTCTTGGTGGCACATGAAAAGAGAAATATTTATTTAATTTTGTGCATATTGGGTTAGCCAAAAGTCCGTTTAGTTTTTTCCCTAAAACAAAGACACATTTTTTCATTTTCACCAATAACTTTTGATTTGGATATTTTGAACATGTAGGCTAACTCACACATGGTATAACATTGATAGTTCTCAATTAATGTCTCAGTTTGAGCACTGTCAACTTCAACTGGTCTGCCCGACTGTGGAGCATTGTCTAGTGAGGAATCCTCAGCATGAAACTTGGCAAACCACTTTTGACACATTTGATCACTCACAGCACCTTATCCATACACGACACAAATCTTTTTTTGCATTTCAGTTGCATTTTTACCTTTCTTGAAGAAATAAAGCATAATATGCCTAAAATGTTTATTTTCTTCCATCTTCAATATTAAAATGGCTACACAAAAATTTACCAATTTTGAAGTGTTTTTTTTTTTAAATGCATGCTAGTATGACAGCTGTCACAATAAAATCTAACAAAATTGTTTCGAATGAAGTTAAAGACTTCATTTGAAGTGCTACTACAGCCATCTTATGGGAAAAACCAAAAGAACTTTTTGGCCAACCCCAAAATATATTTTTTAAAGATTTAATTTATTTATTTTTAGAGAGAGGGGAAGGAAGAGGGAAAGAGAGGAAGAGAAACATCAATGTGTGAGTGAAACATGGACCCGATGTCTCTTGCACGCCCCCAGTAGGGGACCTGGCCCCACAACCCAGTCATGTGCCCTGACTGGGAATCGAACCAGTGACCTTTTGGTTTGCAGGCCAGTGCTCAATCCACTGAGCCACGCTAGCCAGGGCCAAAAATATATTCAACATACCAGGCATTGCTCTTTGTGCAGAGGTAGCAAGGGCAAAGAAGGCAGAATCTCTGTCCTCAAGGACCTTAAAGTCTAGGCGCTCGATATGGATGACAGGAAGCCAGTACTTACATGGTGGAAACCATTCGCACATAGGAGGCAGTGTGGCAAACTACAGAAAAAGAGTTAGAGGTAGGCCAGACTTTGCGCCTCTTTTGTTCATAAGTTGTTATCTTGTAACAAATAATGTCTGGTTATAAATAGAGTCATACAGTAGTGATTTTGGAGTGTTTTATGGGACCAGTCTGGCTCATTTGCATTTCAATCACACAGACTTTATCTTCTGTTTTAGTGCCTTCTCTTCTCCTTCCATGTTTAGGTTAGACTAGAGTGGAAGGCAGAGTATAGGATCCTGAAGTCCTGAGACTAAATAGCCTCCTCTCTTCACAGGGGAGTAAAATCCTTAAAGTTTACTACTTATTTTCCCCCAATGCAGAAGATGACAGGCCAAAAGGCAACAGCTAACCATGCAGTAGAACTGCTGGCAAAGCGATTTTGCACCCAAGGACCCTCTCAGGAAACCACTGTGCTGCTTGTGGATGAGGTAAGGAGGTGCCCACAGGAGGGCTGGTAAAGGAGGGGCATGGTTCTTGACTGTGATGTTTTGGGAGCAAGTAACTGGGTGGGAGGGAAGTTCTGGCTCCCTTCTTCGTTCATCTTAGCCTGTTATCTGGTTGCGAGAGGCGCGTATCCATTGACTTCCTTGCTGCTCTGGTGACATGACCTGAGACGCACATGCAGCTAAAGCAGTGGTAACAGGGCCTTCATTCTGGGGCTTTGGCTCAGTCTCTGTGGTTGACCCTACATCTCTCTCCATTTCCCTGGCAGCTTGATCTTCTGTGGACTCAGAAACAAGACATAATGTACAATCTCTTTGACTGGCCCACTCACAAGGAGGCCCGGCTAGTGGTCCTGACCATTGCCAACACCATGGACCTGCCAGAGCGCATCATGATGAACCGGGTGTCCAGCCGCCTGGTAGGTCCTAGGGCCATTCTTGAGCTGTTCTTATAGATCCAGAAGCTGGACCAAGGAGTTCTGCAAAAATGAATGCATAGGAAATTAAACAGGAAAAGTAAGAAATGTGATTCCTGCCATGGCTGGTGTGGCTAAGTGGGTTTGGTGTTGGCCTGCAAACTGGAAGGTCAGTTCGATTCCCAGTCAGGGCACATGCCTGGGTTGCGGGCCAGGTCCCCAGTTGGGGGCATGTGAGAGGGAGCCAATTGCTGTTTCTCTCACACATAATTGTTTCTCTCCCTCTCTTTCTCCCTTACCCTGTCTCTAAAAATAAATAAAATCTTTAAAAAAGAAAGAAAGAAAGAAAGAAAGAAAGAAAGAAAGAAAGAAAGAAAGAAAGAAAGAAAAGACAGTTCCTGAAATTCTTGCCATTTTAAATTGGAATTAAATACATCACCATTGTATGATTTGCTGCAAACATATTTTGTTTTGCTAATCTGTTCCCTCTGAAACTGCAGAACCCTGGAGGTTTAATCATTTTTAAAGTGTATTTTAGCACTCGCCCTTGCCAGGCAGTGTTAGATGCTTTGAGCAGGGCAGTGCACAAGGCAGATGTGGTCTCTGCCCTTCTGGACCCGCACATGGTTCAGCTCAAAGCGCAGCATCAGGTACTTCTGAGCATGATGAGTGAAGCCAGGAGCTCTGCCTATACAGATCATAGAGCAGATCCTCCCGCCCACTTTAATTGGAGCACCTCTACTTCTATTTACTTCTCAGTGATTTCATAGAAAAAAAGGATCTTTAAAACTACATGAAAAGGCGTTGAGAAGTACTGCTCTACAGGATGCCACTGGTCATTGTCAGTAATGAAGAGCTGGAAGCAGTGGTAGTCCCAGCATGAAATCTGTAACCTAGATTTTGGGACCTAGAAATTGGGTCTGGGAACTAATGGGTAACTTCACCAGGGTTATCAGAGAGGGCAATGAGTGAACTTGTTTCTTTGTCATCTTGGCTCCCCAGGGTCTCACCAGGATGTGCTTCCAGCCTTACACTTACAGGCAGCTGCAGCAGATCCTAGTGTCCCGACTCACACATTTAAAGGCCTTTGAGGACGATGCCATCCAGTTGGTGGCCAGGAAGGTAGGTCACACTACGGAGCTCCTAGCCGTACTTACAAACCAGCCAGCATTTCTTTTCTAAGCACCTGTCAGAGTGAGGTCCTGTGCTGGGTGCCCTGAGGATGAAGAGAAATTTAGGAAGTCCTATAAAAGCAAGTATAAAATGTAGAAACAAAGTTCTGGAAAATTCCTGAAATCTTGTTGTATAATTGTTTAGAAGGCTATGACTATGGTGGGCTTATATACAAATTAAGATTGATTCAGGAAGCAGGCAGCTTTATGGAATGAAAAAGACAGAATAATTCAATAGATGCCTCATTTGAATTCTGGCTTTAACACTTAATAGGCATGTGGAAGGTTATAGGAAAGTTATCAATACTTTAAAACTTTCAGAGCCTTAGTTTACTTTTCTAAAACTTGGACTGATAACTAGCCACCTCAGAGGGTCATTGAGAGAATTAAATTCAACCATGTCTATAACATGCCTGGCTTAGGTATGAGATTTGGACTGCCTACATCCTCCAGGCTCACTGGGAGAATGCAAGCAGCTTCCACTAAGACTAGTCTCTGAGACTGCTGAAGAGTAAAATGGGTTAAATATCTCAAGTTGAATGCAAAAAACCACACATCCACAGTATTTCAGCATTTATAAGAATCACAAACATATTTCTGTTTCTAGTGTCTTGCCTGAGAACTCTGAATGCCTATAGCAGCAGCACGTGTCTGTAACACCTGCTCGGAGCTGGCTACTTACTGTGTTACGTTCTGGGGTCAGGTGAGCCAGATAGGTACTTGACTCCAAGCTTTGCTTTCTCAGAGAGATCCTTAAAGTTACGATCAAACCCTTCTATTGAGTAGAGTTTTTTACTTCTGCCATCATGCAGTTTCTAAAAGTTCTTTTTTTTTTATTCCTCCGAATGGTCATTTTTTTATGTCACCCTATTTATTTGAAGTTGTCTTCTTCCTTTTCTTCCAAGATACTTTTGTCTGTTGGTTTATCTTGCATTGTCACTTCCCTCAGATGTCTTAGTTGTCCACTCAGGTGTAAGAATGGAAATCACAAAGCTTACTGGGAGCCTTGAGCACATGAGTGGAAGGAACTTCTTCATTGGGAGCTTCACTGGGATAATCTGATTGGCCAATTTTGATACCTTTACTTGTTTCCCATTGGAATGGCCAGATTTCCCACAGTAGCCTTCCTGTGTGCCACCTGGAGGGCAGTGTTTTGGGGTGGGCGAGGTGGGCTGGAGTCAGAGTTCAGCATGCAAATGTTGAGGGACATCCGCTTCCCTGCAATAATTCCTAGTGTCTCTGATCTAGAGACTTTGTATATTCTTGCTTGAGAATAAATCATGGGCCTCCTGCCATAGTACAAGAGGGACCATCTCCAGGGCAAGGAGTTTTATGCAAACAGTACAAATTAACAACGCACAAAATTTTCTTACCAAGCCCTAAACTGTCCCTCCCCTCAGTGGTCCTAATGTTCATCCAAGAACATGAAATGAGAGAGGATCTAGGGCAAGGGTCAGCAAACATTTTCTTGTGAAGGACCAGGCAGTAAATACTTTAGGCATTACAGGCCATAATGGTCTACCACCGCTATTCAGCTCTGCCCTTGCATCACCAAAAACAGCCATGTACAATAGGTAAAGGAATGTGCATAGCTGTATTCCAATAAAACTTCATTTACAAAACTGTGTGGCAGGCCATAGTTTGCCGATTCCTTGTCTAGGGCATCAGTTTCTTAACGCTCCAAATTTTAGCCAAACTTCCCCCTTTATCTCTAATTCCAATACTGCTAAACCTGAGCATTTTGTAGATTTTTAGTATAATTTGGATTTGCTCTTTGGATTTGGATTTAGTATAATTTGGATTTGAAGAAAATTGGGTTTCTTCAGTCTGTTAAGTCAACCATTACTCTGCCACCTCTTTTCAGCTGCGGAATTATATTGTTTACTGCTATTGCTCCCCTTCCTTTTATGGTTCTTGGTCCTTTAATAAGGTTTCAGAAGGCATCATATTTGAATGTTGTTTTTACCCAAAACTTATACCTGCAATTTCAAAATGCTTTTATTTCTTTATATATAAAGGAACATATCTATTTTGTATTCTGTATCCTATAGTTAGAAAGTCTTTGTGAGTCCAGTTCTATTGATTGCTGGTTCCCATGCATATATGGCTTTGTTTCCTTGTTATTGTACCTTGTTTGTTTTTTGTTGTTTTGTTTTCTGTATGCTTATGTTCCTTAGAGCTTTATCTGAGAATTAATTGAGGCCTGGGTTGAAGTTGAGTTCATTTAGAATTTGTTTTTGCTTCTGTCAGTTACCAAGGGGCATTATCAACCGGGACCATTCTGAAACAAAAATTTTCCCTTTGAGTTCTTTAGAAGATGCACATAAGTGTGAGCTACAAATCCATGTGGAGGGTTGTGACTACAAAGACAGTTTTTTTACCCTACATCAACTAGACCAAGGTCAAAACAGGTTATTTTTCTTGCCATCCCTTCTGCATGACGGGTCTCCAGTTCACCCCCGTACTGAGGTCAAGTCCGAAGATCCTACAAGGTCTTCTTTTAGATTGCATGTTGGGTGGGCCCCAGCTTTTTCTTTTGTCTCCATCACCCCAACACCAGTCCAAAAGGATGCGTACAGTCACCAAGATTCACAGATAGTCTCAGAACTATTTCGGGCGTTTTCTTGCCTCCCAGGGTCCCCTGTGCATTTTGTTTTTAGGCCTCTTCAGCAGCTGAAGTCCATGCTATCAACACAGTACTGCTTCCCAAAGCCATAGGAATGGTAATCAGAGGAAAGAAGTGATTGGGTGGAAACATCCACAGGGCATTCTTACCAGCCAGATGTGGGAGATTACAGGAAGGGAAGAATATAAGATGATACTCATGTTTCTGTCTTGGGTTACTGGAAAAGTGAGTTTTTGTTTTGTTTTGAATGTCTTAAATTTAAGGTCTGAAAACAAATATACACAAAACATTTTAAAACTCCTGTAATCCCACTTCCCAGAAATAATTTTTAATGTTTTTGTGTTTGTGTGTGTGTATGTATATATACACCTATACAATTTGCTTTTGACAAACTTTTATTTTGTCAATTATTTTAGACGGAAATAATCATTTTGGCATGTTGCCTGGCAGGATGTTGTCGCCCCTGATGGTTGTCAGGCGAATGGTCAGGATTATTGGCAAGTACTGGGGGTGCAGGCCACAGTGAGTCCAAGATTTCCCTCAGTGAAATTTAAATTGCAAGTGGCCTAAATAAGCTTGAGAGGGAGGATAGGATTCCTTATGAAAGGAGCCCAGGAGCCCCTCAGCCTCTGTGCACATGAAAAGGAAGGAGCAACAGCTGAGCTGCTGGCCGTGTGGGTTGGTCTGAGTCGCCTAACCACAGATTCCTCTGGGTTCCCCAGATTTGCAGCCTCCTTCCCTCTTGATTCTGGTTGTTGAGCCATTTACCAGGCAGTCTCCAAAATTCACCAGATGCTGTAAAGTAGGCTCAGCTGCGGCTTTACCTCCAAAACAGGCTCCACCTTACCCTCTTGGCCTTAGCTGGCAGCTTCTATGGGGACATTTTTCTCTCCCTGCAAGGAATGAGGACGCGTATATTTCCAGATGTTTCAACGTGATCATGGGCCATGGGTCCTGAATATTAAATAAAGCTGAGAATTTCTGCGTTTTACACTGTGGAGTTATTTATAAAACCAAGACAAAGGTTTGGGCTTAGTAAAGAGTCCCAGGCACAGTATAAAGTTATGTGCTGCATAATGACATTTTGGTCAATGAAGGACCGCATATACAACAGTGGACCCATAACATTATAATGGAGCTAAAAAAATCCTTATTGCCTAGTGATATTGTGGCTGTTGTGATATCGTAGCACTCAGGTGTCTGTGGTAATACTGCTGTAAACAAACCCACTGTGCTGCTCGCTGTGTAAAAGTATAGGATATATAATAATTTATAATACACAGTACTTGATAATAAAAGACTATGTTACTAGCTTATGTATTTACTATACTATTCATCATTATTTTAGGTATATTTTTTCTACTAAAAAGGCTATACCATGTAGGTGTGTGTAAGTGTACTCCAGTGTTTACACAGCAACGAAATCACCTAACGCATTTCTCAGAGCACTTTCCCATTGTTAAGCAGCATGTGCCCGCGATAAGTTGTATCTGAGTTTCTTCCAGGTTCCCGACCAGGACTGAGTGATTACCTTCAGACTTAAGTCCATTCCCAGCATTGCCTTTCTTTTTTTAGCTGAACACAGAATCTGTTGGCTTTTCTCCTGGGCCAATATGGCAAGAGGATGTCAAGAAATAAAATGTTCCCTCTTGTAGGTGGCAGCCCTCTCTGGAGATGCACGACGCTGCCTGGACATTTGTAGGCGCGCCACAGAGATCTGCGAGTTCTCCTGCCAGAAGCCTGACTCCCCTGGCCTGGTCACGGTAGCCCACTTACTGGAAGCAGTGGATGAGATGTTTTCCTCGCCGTACATTACTGCCATCAAGTAAGATGCTTCTGCTTCCTGACCCTGAACCTTCTTTGGAAGCCCACTGTAGAGGGCCACAGTCTGGGAAGGCCATGGAACCATGTTTCCCTTTCGAAGCTTTTACTCACTCAGCCTGCATTTGCTGAAGACACTGTCCTTTTCTTAAGGGGCATAGTCAGGAATCTAAACCTAGTATAATAGAAGAATTTCCATGAATTGGGTTACACTGTAGGTGTTTAGTAAAGTGTTGTAGGAACAAGAAGAGGCTACTTGTCACACACTGATGGATATACTCAGCTCATGAAAGGGGGTGCTGGTCCCTTTCCAGATGCAGTTGCTGTGTCCCTTACTTCCAAAGTGGCACTTATTATATCATTTTAAGACTTTAGGAGGTCAGGGGGACCCTTACTGAATAATTCAAGAGGAAGTAGTCCCCAGTTTTTTTTTCTGTCTGTAAAGATGCAGAAAAGCTTTATTTGGCTTTCCTTGCAGTGTTGGTGTAGCCAGTTACTGAGAATTCACATCTCTTCATTTTCTTTAAGAAATTCCTCTGTTATGGAACAGAGCTTCCTGAGAGCCATTCTTGCAGAATTCCGTCGATCAGGACTGGAGGAAGCAACATTTCAACAGGTGATTGATCTTTTTTCAAATCCTCCTAGATTTTGGTCTAGTGCATTAAAAATACGCGGGCATTTCAGTCACTGGGTAACAATTTGTGACAGCCTGATAATGCTAAACAACTTCAAACCATTTTTATATGATATTTTGAGTTGCATGAGAAAAGACCTGTAGCAACTGGTTTCTACGCACTAGATTGAAGGTTTACTATGTGCCAGATACTGTTTTAGGAGTAGGAGGTTCAAAGATGAACACGTCAAGAATTACTGCCATGATAGGGGCCAGACTTTCAGAATAAGCTATGTTTAAAATCACAAAGGTCATTCTGAACATTCTTTGAGCATAGTTTCAATAACATCAAATAAAAGGAAGCATGCGGGCTTATGCCTTAGAGTGGTTTATTTAAAACTTGTCCGTAGGCAATGGCTCCCTTAGAAGATGAATTGTTAAGGGTGTTTGAGTGTTTACCTGGGAGTGTGTATGTTTGTCTATGAGTGTGTTTTCAGACATATAGGAAAACATTTTCCTTCTAGATACTTCTTGACTACCCTTCAGCTTTTATTTAAATTCTTTCTTAAACACTTAGTTGCTGATCATGTTTTACCCATTATTCTCCTTCTTAGAGCCTGAAACAGCTCTTCTGCAGAGAGTGGCTTTCACTTAGTTTGTAAACAATTCCTGAACATCTACAATATCTCATTAACTGTGACGTGAGCTAGGAACCCCAGTCTGAATTGGCTAATATCTCTGCTCCTGGCAAGCTTCTGGTATTGGTGGGGGCTGGGGGTGGGGGATTGATTTATAAATAGAAGAGAGAGTGACCAGAAGGCACTACAGACTTGCCTGACCTACGTGGGATTCCAGGGTAGGAATCAGTTTCCACCTACCCTCCTGCCCCTGTTTATTCAGTATTGTCTTTGTACCTTTGTGCTTTTGAAAGGGTCATGTCTTGGCACCTGTACACTGGATCTATTAAGCAAAACGCCTTATAGCAAAATTTGACTTGAATTATGATGATCTCAGTTGTGGAACTCTGAGCCCTGGATACTATGACTGTCTGTATAACAGTCTCAGTATTAGACATTTTATATCTATTAACTCAAGAGATAGATACATTTAATAAATAAAACTGAAGCTCAAAAAGTGAGATAACTTGCCCAGGTGTCATATTTAGGTAATGGGTAGAACTAGGATTCAGACCTGCTATCCTCTGATGCCACAGTCAGTATTGCGTCCTGCCCTTCATTAGTGCTCCATTGAGGCACTCGTGGATGCCTTCTCAGGTATTATCCTGGCCAGGAAGTGTCTGACTTCCCCAAAAGAAATGAATGATCCGATACAGACCTAGAACTATCTTTCTTTTAACTTTTCCAGCAGCTGACGTTGGATTTGCTTTTTTGTTTCTAGGTGTATAGGCAACATGTAGACCTGTGCAGGATGGAGGGCCTCCCGTACCCCACCATGTCAGAGACCATGGCAGTGTGCTCTCACCTGGGCTCCTGCCGCCTCCTCCTTGTGGAGCCCAGCAGGAATGACCTGCTCCTTCGCGTGCGACTCAACATTAGCCAGGGCGATGTGCTATATGCCCTGAAGGAAGAGTGAGGGGCTTCACGAGGAAGTACTGTGAGCTGCTGTTTTTAAAGAGCCTGATTTTCTTTTTGTAAGCACATGGAACTGTAGCAAAGTATACTGAAGGGAAATGGCTACTGTGTAGTTTGGAATTTTCTATTAACTAATTTGCTTCTTCCACAGTGTTTAGAAAATTTATAGTCATTACAAACATCAGATTGTAAAACCAAACCATTCTTCCTACAATAGGCCCCCCTTCTGACTTTTGTTAGTAGCCCTGCCACTTATTTAATGGTAACATACCATATATGAGGGGGGACCCCAAAAAACCTGGCATTATCTTCTGCAGGGAAGGCCCTTTGTAGTACAGGCTTCCCCTGCGAGGTGAGTGTTCTGGGAACCCACCTGTATCAGTGCATCAGCTGGCGTTATGAGAGGCTATATATTTGGCTTTTTCTGAACACTCTTGAAGTGTTTGCCCGTTTCATGATGGATGATTTACAAGTGCACCTGTCCACACTGCACTGAGTATTCAGCAATTTTTGACCAAAAACGGCATGACCCCTGTGTCCTACCCTCCCTATTCACCGGTTCTTGTCCCAACCAACTTTTGTTTGTTTGTTTGTTCCCCTGGATGAAAAAACTTCTCAAAGGGAAATGTTTTGCCCATGTGGAAGAGGTGAAACAAAAAATGGCAAAAGGACTAAAAGGCATCAAAATTGACAAGTTCAAAAACTGTTTTGAGCAGTGAAAAAACCGTTTTGATAGGTGTATTGCATTAAATGGAGAGTACTTTGAAGGTGACTGAAGTTTAAACATGTAAGAATTTTTTATAAATAAATTCAAGAGGGTTTTTTGGTCCCCCTTCATATATAAATATGTGCATACTATTACTTGTATAAAATAGTTCTGGGAGAATATGTAAGGATTTGGTTTATTGGTTGCCTCTGGGAAAGAAATGGATGGCTAGATCAGGGGTTAGAGGAAGACTTTCACTGAATGTCCTTATGTATCTTTTAACTTTTGAATAACATGAATAAAACAAATAGTGTATAAGAAAGAAATGCTGGAAATAATATTAGTGGTAAGGAATCCCCAGCAACAAATAGTTAGAATATGTAAATTTTAAAAAGGTCCCATTTATAAAAACAAGTCTTTAAATGAAAAAGACTCAGATGGCACAAGAAATAGAAAATACCTAGGAATAAAGCTAATAAAAAGATGTAATTAATCTCTAAATACAAATCAATTCCAATCAAAATCTTGGCAGGGTTTTTGTATAATTTTGCAAGTTAATTCTAATATTTCTATGGAAACCAACAATGAGACAAACTGACATCTAAAGCATCCTCATGAGAAAAATATCGCCCATGTAATATTGTAGTGGTCTTGCCAGAAATTTTTGACCAAAATCTGTTGATGAGAAAATTATCAGCTAAATCAAAATTGTAGGGAAAATATTCTACAAAGCAACTGTCCCTCTTCAAAAAAGTCAGTATCACAAAAGACAAAATGGAGGAACTATTCTAAACTAAAGGAAAATAAATGAGAGCTAAATGCACTGTAAATCTTGATTGGGTTGTATATTTAAGAGATACATATAATTATAAACAATAAGTATACTAGTATTATGTAAATTTTGTGAGTGATAAATTGTGTAGGAAAATGTCTTTGTTTTTATAATCATGAAATATTTGAAATGTCTACAATTCTTAGTTCAGGAAAAATGCACGTTGATGTATATACACATATTTATAACTGCATATAATGGACTGAGGATCAATATCAGAATACTTTAAAGAATTACACAATTGTTTAAAAGGAAAATGTGTAAATAAGTCATCTACAGAATAAGAAACAAAGAAATGGAAACATAAAAGAAGTCTGCAAGTCAAAACCCTTTTACATCTACTAGCAAACCTTTCAATGGTAATAGGAAACAATTGGAACACAACCGCCTCTCTGATGGGAGTGTAAACTGGAACAAATGTTTTGTAGGTAATTTGGTATATAGTCTGGGAAATGCAGTAATCCTTAGTCAGCAATTCCACTCCTAGGTATATGCCGTAGAAAAATACGTATGTACCTAGGAGTTGTGCACAAGAATGTTCATCATACTATAATGGCAAGTCGTTGGAAGAGTGAATTATTTTCATACTATGAAATACAGAAATGAAAAATAAATGTTGGTGTGGATGAAGCTTACCAACAGGGTTGAGCAGATAAAGAAGTTGAGGAATATAGTGATACCAATGGTACAATGTTAAAGTTTACCAAAAAACCAAAACAAAGCCCTATGAATTAGTTAAGGGTATATACACAGTAGAAATAAGAAATACTCAAGAATAGTAAACACCAAACTCAGGAGAGTAGGTAGCTCATTAGGAAAGGCTTGAAATATGAAAGGTATGTAAGTTGCTTCAACTGTATTATTGTACTGTTTTTTCCCTAAACTTGGAGCTGGTGCTCATGTTGATTTACACCAGAAAAAGGAACTATTTTTATTGAGTGCTTACTATGTACCATGCATTTCTTTAGACACTGGAGATGACTTAGAGAACAGGGGAGCTTGCATTCTGGCAACTAAAATATCATATATCTTTGGGTATATATTAAACTATTTCATTATATTTCATAAGAAAAAATGGGAGTGAAACTTCAATTTCAAAATGCTAAGGTCTCTTAAGGATTTAACTCGCCTTGTGATTGGAAAATGTACGTTCACGTGCTAAGTGGTTAAAAATACGGTGAGCTACATTTCTATTTCCCTGGAGACTATCCAAAATACATGACTAAGAATGTGACAAGCTGAGAAGCACCCCCTGCTCTGGGGTCTGCGCCAGCCCCGCCCCCACGCCCAGACGGGAGAAACGGGCCTTGAGGCGAGCGTGCGCGCAGGAGCCGCGGTCTGGGAGTAACCTGGCGGGGAAGTTGTAATTGGGCAAGGACAGATGACGCACCTACTGCACTTGCGCAAGCCGCTGGACACCCCGGAACTGCCCATCCTGGTACTGCGGGTGCGCTCAGAACTCCACCCTTGGAATCACCTGTTGGGGTGCCACACCCGTCTCGTCTTGCGCATGCGTGTTGTGCACCGCAGGGGCGTGGAGTCACGTGCTAGGGCGCGAGCTGTGTCCGTGGGGGGAGCTTCCTGTCACGGCTGCCGCCACCGCCCGGTGGCTTCTGGAGCCCCGGGCGGTGCGGGGCGAGAGAAGGCCCGGGTTGGTTTCGGATTCGCCGCGAGGTATGCCGTGTACCTGCCCCCCCCCATGCCCGGCGAGGGGTGACCTGGGGACAGCGGGTGAGATGTAATCGGCTGGGGAGGGGCAGGGAGTCGCGTCCTGCCGCGAGGAAGTGGGGTCCCTCGGCTTCGCTTCTCCTGTGCTCTCCGCTCCCCTCCTGTCCTCCTGAGCCCGGGCCTGGGTCCAGCACCGATACCCCTATTCGGGTGCCCCGGACCGCAGATTTGGTGTGGACTGACCTCCTCTCTTCCTGAACCCGCTTTTAGTACCCTTGCTCCGGAGGCAACCCAAGCCACTGAAATCTGACTCTTGAAGTCACCCCGAGCGCCCCCTCTTGTGCGCCCGCACCCAGTTAAACCTCGGAGCCCTGTTGATTTCCCCCCGAACTCTGGACTCAGAACACTTCTCGCCACCCCGCACGCCGCCGCAGCTTGTCCCTTTTGCCTGCACCGTTGCAAGACTTGACGGCCTCCAGCCTCCCTTCGGCAGCCGATAGGAACCCGCCACATGCATTGCCCTAGAAAAATGCCCAAACTCCTTTAAAGTTTAAAAGTTTATTTTGTCCCTTGCTCACATTTTCAGCTTGACTGGTACCATTTTCTGTCGCACACTCTTTGCCCCAGTAGTCCCAGGTCTTCAGTTTCCTCTGCAGGTCAGTTTTTCACCTCAGGTCTATTATCAGGTTGTTCCATCTGTTTGGAATCCTTTTTCCCAACTTCTACGTGACTCAGAACAGGTATCATCTCCAAAAAGCCTTTTCTCTGTGGTGCTGGGTGAGGGGCCACTCGGGCACTCGTGGCCCCGGGAGAGGTCCTCTGTGGGTTTTGTCCATGGATGAGGCTTTCCACCATGTACATGTTCTTTGAGGGCCGAGAACATGTCAGACTCATTCCTGCTCTCCCAGAGCCCAGCATAGGGCCTCTGCACATAGTAGGTCCTATGAATGGTTGTAAGATCTCTGAGAGAATCAGAATGCTGAGTCAGGTTTCTCTAGAGCAAAACTGTCCAATAGAACTTCTGGTGATGAAAATGTTCAGTATTTGTTCAGGCTAATGGTAGCCAATAACTGAGGAACTGGATTTTTAATTTTAATTAATTTCAATGTAAATAGCCACACGTGGCTACCATATTTGAAAGTACAGCTTTAGAGCCTTTCTGAATCCTACTCACCCACCCCTTACCTAGAGCAACTTCCCTGAATCTGTCTTCCTAGCTCCTCCCCACTCGTTTAATCCAAATTTGTCAAATCATTTCAGTAATCTTTTATTGTGTGTCCACACTCCTCATTTAGACCCATTGACAGGTGCTCCCCATCCCTTCTGTCTCCCGTGTTGCTTGCTTCAGTGCTTCACTTGTAGTGTTAGTATTTCATCCTTTGGTCTTAAGCATTGACTTTTTTCTCTGAATTGGGAGTTTATTAACGGGTACCTTACTAAGATAGCATTGTTGGGGGAGGGGCTTATAGGCTGCTCCAGCCTGAGTCTCTTCCATTCCCCACCAGACAGGTATCTAGGCAGCCAAGATGCCAGGGCCAAGACCTCGGAAGGGCCCTCAGGCCAGTGGTCAGGGTGTGGCAGCTGCCAAGCAGGTATGTATATAGCTGCCTTCACCGCTGAGCCAGGGTGGGAGGTTCCTAAATTACATGGGCAAACTGGGTCACCTGTATGCTGTCCCCATCAGTCCAGAGACTTGCAGCAGTGCCCCCTGGAGTTGGCAGAGCCCTTACAGGCACTCAGACTATCTCCTGCTACACACACGTGGGAGATGAGTCTTGAACTCACCTGTGCTTCAATCCCAGTATCCCCTGCCATGGCCACCTCCAGAAAAGTGACCTGCAGGGTTCAGGAACCACCAAAGTTTAGGGGGTGCTGATAGGGCCTCAGCACTCTCATGGGTTCCTCATTTAGGCCATGACTCTGCTTACCAGCCAGGGATCCCAGGGCTTGAGGGCTAAGCCCACCAGGAGAGCGTTGCATCCTTAGAGGTCTGTTCTCTCTTTATTTTTTCTGGGCCTAAGTCCTGAGACTTCTTAGTCCATATTTATTATCTTAAAATAGGCAGGTTAGGGAGGTGGTAGGATAAAGGGCATAGACTTGAGTCACATTACCTTATTTTAAATTCTAGCTCTGCCACTTAAGGCTGTCTCAGTATCATCTGAACATGGAGATATAAAGAGGACCTACATTTATTCACAGTAGTCAGATTCATACAGACAGAAAGTAGAATGTAGTTATCAGGGGCTAGGGCAAGGGGGGAATGGGGAGTTATTGTTTAATGGGTACAGGGTTTCAGTTTTGCAAGGTGAAAAGAGTTCTGTGGAAGGATAGTGGTGATAGTAGCACAGCAGTGTGATGTACTTAATGCCACTGAATTCTGTACTTAAAAATGGTTAAGATGCCCTGGCCATGTGGCTCAGGTGGTTGGAGTGTCATTCTGTGCACTGAAAGGTTGCCAGTTCCATTCCCAGTCAGGGCACATGCCTAGGTTGTAGGTTCAGGTTCAGTCCCTGGGTGTATATGGAAGGAAACCAATTGATGTTTCTCTTCCCCATCCCCCACCCGCTGTCCCTCTCTCCTTCTCTCCCTCCCCGTTCCTCTTGCTCAAAAAAAAAACAAAAACAAAAAACATCCTCAGGTGAGGATTTAAAAAATGGTTAATTTTCATGTTATATGTGTGCTATTTTTTTAACATATATTTTATTGATTATGCTATTACAGTTGTTCCGTTTTTTTCTCTCCTTTATTTCCCTCCACACCACACCGCCCCAACCCCCAGAGTTCCCCCTCACCCTTAGTTCATGTCCATGGGTTGTACATTTGAGTTCTTTGGCTTCTCCATTTCCTATACTATTCTTAACCTCCCCCTGCTTATTTTGTACCTACTTTTTATGCTGCTTATTCCCTGTACCTTTCCCCCCATTCTTTCACCTCCCCCTGCCCTCTGTTTTACTGTTTGTAGTTTTTGATCATCTTTTTCTTAGATAATTCCCTTTAACATTTCATGTAATAAGGGCTTGGGGATGATGAACTCCTTTATCTTATCCAGGAAGCACATTATCTGCCCTTCAATTCTAAATGATAGTTTTGCTGGATAGAGTAATCTTGGATGTAGGTCCTTGCCTTTCATGACTTTGAATACTTCTTTCCAGCCCCTTCTTGCCTGCAAGGTTTCTTTTGAGAAATCAGCAGAGTCTTATGGGAACTACTTTGTAGGTAACTAACTCCTTTTCTCTTGCTACTTTTAAGATTCTATCCTTATCCTTAATCTTGGATAACTTAGTTATGATATGCCTTGTTGTGTGCATCCTTGGGTCCACTGTTTTTGGGACTCTCTGAGCTTCCTGGGTCTGGAGGTCTATTTCCTTGGCCAGGTTGGGGAAGTTCTCCTTCATTATTTTTTCAAATAAGTTTTTACTTTCTTGCTCTTCCTCTTCTCCTTCTGGCACCCCTATGATTCAGATGTTGGGTCATTTAAAGTTGTCCCAGAGGTTCCTAAGCCTCTCCTCACCTTTTTGAATTCTTATTTCTTCATTCTGTTCTGGTTGAATGTTTATCTCTTCCTTCTGCTCCCAGTCGTTGAGTTGAGTCCCGGTTTCCTTCCCCTTACTGTTGGTTCCCTGTATATTTTTCTTTATTTCACTTTATATAGCCTTCACTTTTTCCTCCATTTTGTGACCATACTCAACCAAATCAGTGAGCATCCAGATTACCAGTGTTTAGAATTGTGCATCTGATAGATTGGCGATCTGTTCATCACTTAGTTCTATTTTTGGAGCTTTGATCTCTTTTTCATTTGGGCCATATTCGTTTGTCTCAGCGCATCTGTTCCATTGGATGGGGCAGAGCCTTAGATATTTGCCAGGGTGGGGCAACCCAGGTTTCTGTATTTTGGCCGTGTGTTTGGAAGACAGGTCCAAGAGGGAACAATGCCACCTGGTGGGCTCTAAGCTGGCTTCCAGTCACTTGCCCCGCTACCCACAAGCAAATTGGGCCCTTCTAGTGTTGATTCCAGGGTGGGTGGGTTTGTATGTTCTAGGACCCTGTGGGTCTCTCCAACAGACTCTCCTGTGAGGCTGGACCTTTCTCCTGCTGCCGCAACCCCCACAGGTTTTTACCTCCAGAGGTTTTGATGCTTTCTCTTCCCACACTGGACCCCTGGATTGCGTGGTCTGCCTGGTTCCCCAGCTGTTCCTCCAGTGTATCCGCATGCAAATGTGGGACCATCCGATCCACCAGCCACCGCCTTGCCCGCCTGGCCCTCCAGCCGCCACCTTGCCAGGAGGCCTCTCCACCCCAGCTACCCATCTCCACCCCTCCAGTCTGGAGGAATGTTTCTTCTTTAACTCCTTGGTTGTTGGACTTCTATACGGTTCGATTTTCTGGCAGTTCTGGTTGCTTTTTGTTTTTAAATTTGGTGTTGTCCTTCTTTTGGTTGTGCAAGGAGACAAAGTGTATCTACCCATGCCTTCATCTTGGCTGGAAGTCCTCTATATGTGTGTTATAACATATAAAGAAAAATAGGACCTACCCCTTAGGATTATGAGAATTAACTGAGATGATCATGTAGAGTGCTAAGTGCAGTGCCAGGTAGCTAGTGAGGAATAATAAAGACATTGTAGTTTTCTTGGGCTCTTTGTAGAGTCACTAGGGAGTATCCTAAGGGGTAATAGTGCAAGCCTCAGTTTCCCTTTCTGCACATTGGGCCTCAGACCGGGAAGGAGCCACAGACCTCTGGGAGACTGGCTCTGGGGCTGGACTACACCCTCTTCCTCATTGTGTGGTCCCTAAGAAATGGTCTCTGCTCTCAGCTGGGACTGTTTGTGGAATTCAGCCCTGAGGACATGCTGTTGGGGATGGAGGAGACTGGAGATGATGGGGACCTGGAGGCTGAGCTGCTGGCCCTCACAGGAGAAGCAGGGAACACAGGCGGGAAGCCAGCACCCAAGAGGCTGGGTAAGGGTAAGTTTTGGGTGCCGGGCTGGACTCTGTGCTAGGACCAGATGGGCCCAGGCAGTTGGTGGAGAGGGTCCTCCTCACAGGTGCGAGGATCCAGCCAAACCACCTGGTCTCCTGGTTTCTGTGCCCCTTCTGCAGCTCTCCCACCGAGAGGCCATGCTGCTCGGGGCACACACTTGTGTGATGGGGAGCTCACTCCTTCCCTGGTTGCCTCTTCTTCACGACTCGGGTCCCTGTCTTCAGGCCTAGCCAGGGCCTGGTATAGAATAGGGGCTTAGTGCACAGAGGTTGTGTCCACTGAATAAATAAGTGGAATACTTCTCCCCAGCCTGGAAGAGGACCTAAAGCTTCCTCTCTTCTCACCAGGAACCTTCAGAGAGAACCTGCCCGCAATCCCATGTACCCCGGAGCTGGGATAATGGGAGAAACATGGCCCTCTATTTCCTCTCAGTCCAAACTTTGGGGTTAGACAAGCCTGGCTTTGAATCATGGCTCTGCCACTTAGTAGGACTGCAATATTAGGAAAATTAGTATCGGTAGTTTTCAGTTTACTCATGTAAAATGGGGATAATATGACCTATCTGGTAGAATTATTGTGATGCTCAAATGGATGTTAAAAGTCTTTCCATATGTGAAAGGTGTGATTAGGAGGAGTGGATGAATGTGCCTGTGAAGAACTACAACACAAATGCCGAGAACAGAGCAGCTTGTTGCCTTTTAGAGGGTCCAGGGAGGTTTCTATGCTGAGGGTCTTCTGAGCTGGGTCATACAGGAAGAGCAGGAATCTTACAGGTGGGACTTTGACTGTGGAAGGGCGAGGTTTCTGTCTGGGTGTAGAAATTCACAGTGCGCCGAAGACTACTCTTTGTGGACGTTCTCTGAGGCCCTGACCCTCTGGTCCCCTAGCGCCTTTACCTATGGCCCACATCGAGAAGCTGGCGGCGGACTGTATGCGGGATGTGGAGGAGGAGGAGGAGGAAGAAGAAGGGCTGGAGGACGATACAGACTTGCTGGTGCGTTTGCCAGGCTGGTGGCCAAGGACCCTGTGGCCAAGCCTGTGGAAGAAGCCTGGGGCTTGTCCCTCTGTGGGCTCTGATGTCGAGTGGCTGCCCTGTCCTTCTTGGGCCCGTTTTCCCAACTCTACAGTGTAAGACTAGTTTCCTTTGATGTCTGGTCTGAACACTGTACTTAAGGATTCTCAGATTTTGTAGTCTTCCCTGTTTTCAAAGCTATCTATCCTCAGTTAAAGAAGTGTTTCGGTAAAGGGGACTTTCAGGTACAGTGACTGATGTTGCGAAGTACTGCTGGGGGAGAGGGTCCTTTATGTTCAGATCCTGTCATAGGTATGGTCATGAGGCTCCCAAGCTCCTCAGACTTGTGTCTCCCCAGACTGAGCTGCAGGAGGTCCTGGGTGCAGATGAGGAAGCTGGGTCCTTGGATGGCGATGAGACAGCCACCCTGGGTAGCTCTGAGGAGAAGGGACAGGAAAACACTGACCCTCCAGTGCAGACAGCTCTCCTAACAACTTCAGTTCTGGTGGCTCAGGTAGGTTCTGGAGAGATTCCATGTGCCTTTGATACCCCTGCGTGTGCCTGCATAACACGCGTATAGCACGGCTTGCATAGGAAGGCTGCCGCAACCCTCCCCAGGGCCCTCCTCCAGCAGTGCCCCAAGCAGTGGCTGAGCCCAAGAAACTCTGGTGCCTGGCTGGCCTCAAAGGCCTCTCTGTTCTCCCAGGCTACTCCCTGCAGCCATCCACAGATTGTCTGGGCCTCTGTGTTTGCCTCTGATATGGCCTCTGGCCTCTCCAGTAAGTCTTTGCCTCCTCCTTGAGGCTTTTAGGCTCACCCTCCTTGAATCCAAGAGCTCTGTTTTCTGGGGCAGCTTCCTTGCAGGGAGGGAGCAGCAAGGGCCTAGCTGGCCCTGGAGTGGCCAGGCCCTGAACTGGAGTATCTACAGGCTGGAGGGCCTCGGGGGCTGCAGGCTCTGCTGGAGGACCGGCTCCACAATTACCGGGAAGCTGCGGCCAGCGCTAAGGAGGCAGGTGAAGCAGCCAAAGCCAGGCGTTGTGAACGTGGACTAAAGGTAGGTTGGGCCCAGCCAGGGAGCAGGGCTGGGAGGAGTGGGGCTCAGGGCAGTGGGTCAGGCAGCAGAAGTTGGGCCCAGTACAGGGGAGGCCTCCCCACTGGCCTTGTAGAGGGGAATGATCCCTGGCCTGTCTTCAGGCAGGTTCCAGGCTGAGATGGCTGGCTAGGTTTCTGGTTCTTCCCTCCCTCAGACTCTAGAGTCCCAGCTGGCTGCTGTGAGGAAAGGCAGGAAGATCAATGAGGATGAGATACCACCTCCAGTGGCCTTGGGCAAGAAGCCCCCAGCTCCCCAGGAAACAACCAACAGGAGCCCTGAGACAGACCTCCCTGCTCCCCCCGCCATGTTACCAGGTATCTGGAGACACTCAAATTCTGTTGTACTCGCCAAGGTCAGAGCCTATGGCGTGCCACTCCATTGGCGTTAGTCACACCTTTCCTGTGGGCGCTGGGAACCCAAGGTGTGCACCTTCTTTGACCCTGATGCCCCCTCTCTGGGCTTTTTGTTTCTCCAAAGACAACCCTTCTCAGCCTGAGACAAGCCCCCTGGGCAGCCCTGGCACTTCTACGCTGCCCAATCCAGACCCAGACCCACGGGCCCTGTTGTCGGCTCGACAGAGGGAGTACAAAGTGGCTGCCTTGAACGCCAAGCGGGCTGGGGACCTAGATCGTGCCCGAGAGCTCATGAGGATTGGGAAGGTATGACATCTGGCTCAGGGGCCCTGTGTCTAACCCCTTCTTTCACATTTGGGGCAGCGACCCACTCAAGGCCTTGCAGCTAGACTCTTTTCAGCCCAGGCTCATGGGTTCCCTGGCTTTTGCCCACACCTGCCTTCCTTACCACTGCAGAGATTTGGTGCCGTCCTGGAGGCCCTGGAGAAGGGGCAGCCTGTGGACCTGAGTGCCATGCCCCCAGCACCTGAGGGTCAGTATGGGGATGGTGGAGGGAACTTGCTCAGGCTGGGACTGGCCAGGCACCCCCACCTACACTTGTGCTCTGGGTCCCTCAGGCCTGAAGCCCCTCCCACAGGCTTCGAAGGTCCTCACAGCACCCTCAGTTGGACCCCCAGCTGTGGAACATGTGCACCCAGTGATGGCCTCTAACACTCCAGCAACCCCAGGTAGGATGGGATGGTGGGACTGTGGAGTGGGGACCTGAGGAGAGGTAGGGAGAGCTGATGCTGTCTCCTTCCTCCTCTAGAGGCCCATACGGAGCCACAGACAGTGTTGGACGCCCTGCAGCAGAGGCTGAATAAGTACCGTGAGGCAGGCACCCAGGCCCGCAACAGTGGGGATGAACGAAAGGCCCGGATGCACGAGCGCATTGCCAAGGTGGGCCTGCGGCCATGAGACCCCCTGCACGGGTCAGCGTCTCTGTCTGCTCTTGCAGCTAGCCCTGGTCCTTGAGGGTCTCTGTCTCTCTTGAGCTCTTGCTGCCTCGGGCTGCTTTTCCTCCAGGGGGTTGCTTTCAGTCTCCTACTCTCTGTCTCTCCCTGAGAGGAGCATGCAGACTGCTGCCCACCATAGGTCGCTCCCTCCCTCCCTCCTTTCCCTTGCAGCAATATCAAGATGCCATTCGAGCGCATCGAGCAGGACGCAAGGTTGATTTTGCTGAGTTGCCTGTTCCTCCAGGTACGTGGTTCTTGGCCTAAGGTCTTTACGATCTCTAAGAGGAGGCAGGGAGTGATTCCTCATGTATCTGCCTCCGCTCTGGGAGCCACCCACTCCCGCTATGCCCAGGGAGGCCTAGTGGAAGCCCACAATAGCCTAGTGTTTCCCTGAGGCCACCCTACCCATTGCCCAGCTCTCTCTCTCCCACAGGATTCCCTCCTATCCCTGGTCTGGAGTCCACTACAGACACTGAGGAGGATGCAGTAGCAGCTACTTTAGCTGCTGCTCAGAAACTAGCTTCTGACGATACAGCTCCAGCAGAGGAAGATGGGGATGAGGATGAGGTTTGGCTGAGGGCCTAAGACTCCAGGGGTTGGTGGGGGGAAATGGCAGATGAAGGGCAAACCCAGATCCTGTTGTCCATACTAACAAGTCCAGCAAAGTAGCTATTCTTTGCCGTTTTACAGAAAAAAACTTGGCCAAGGGCATCCAGATAGGCGTTAGCAGAGCCAGATTCAAACCAAGATCTTTCTGACCCCAGAGCCCTGGTTTGATCTTCAAAACCCTGGTATCTGCTGTTGGGAAGGTTAGCTCAGAGCTTTTGAAGCTCTTTGTAGCTCTGAGATTCTCTGGGGCCCACACAGGGAAGCCATTCATCTCAGTAAACACAGCAAGTTAGTGCAAAGTTAGGAAGAGAGTCCAAGTCTGAGTTGCTACAGCGGGGGTGCGGGACAGATTCCCTGTGACATGCTCTGGGCACCTGTAGGATGAGCCTCCAGCCCAGGCCCCAGTACCCAAGAAGCCTCTGGTCCCTTCATCCCGCCCTTTGCCTGAACCCAAGGCCTCAAGTTCTAAGGAGCCACTGAGTCCCTCTGGTGAGTTGGAAGAAGAGGGGTGGAGGACTAAAGGCTCTGGTGAGGGGCAGGCATGGCTCTAACCAGCATGGCTCTCCCTTCAGTACGGGAGCAGCTGGCACTGCTGGAGGCCCGCAAACTGCAGTACCAGCGGGCAGCCCTGCAGGCCAAGCGTGGCCGGGACCTGGAACAAGCCAAAGCTCACCTGCGGCTGGCCAAATGCCTTGAGGCTCAGATTCTCCAGGTCCGAGCCGGCCGACCAGTAGACCTCTCCAAGGTGAGTCCCACCTGGTTAAGCAGGAGGACTTCTCATACAGAAGAGGCAGGTGGCAAGCTTGACAGCAGGGCTGTGAAAAAAGCTGCTTGGATGCCACTGTCCACTGCCATTGGTTATACCTTCCCTGAGCCCCTCAGGCCAACCTGAGAGGTGAGACGTGGATAGGATGTGGCGACTGCTGGGTAAGAGCCTTTTGCTTATGCCTCTCTCTGCCCTATAGCCCCAGAAAGGCCAGTAGAAGGCCTGGTGGGCTGCCTATGGTCAGAGACGACAAGGCAGGGCAAGGCCAGTGGGAGGCAGTGTCGTGGCAGCCTGGGATATAAGGGGAAGCAGTGAGTTCCCATCACTGGTTGTTAGTAGAAGCTGGAGAAACATTAAGTTGGGATTCCTGCAGTTGTTAGGCTCAGTAGAGGGATAATCTGACACTTGGGGCCCCTGAGGGGCCTTATGACCTGGGCAGGTACCTTCACCGTTGACGGATGAGGAGGGTGACTTCATCCTCATTCACCATGAAGACCTGCGCCTCTCCCAGAAGGCTGAGGAGGTATACGCACAGCTACAAAAGATGCTTCTAGAGCAACATGAGGTCAGTTGATTGCTTGTCTCTCCTTCCTTCAGTGCCCACAGCTCCCTTTGGGGAAAGGCATAGACCAGATAGGCCTGGATTCATACTCTGGCTCTTCTACTTACTGGCTGTGTGACCTTGCGCAAGGCACTTACCATCTCTGAACCACATTTTCATCTGTAAAATAAGATTATTATTATCATCGCTGGGTGGTTATGAAGTTAAGACAACAGACTGGAGGGGAAAGTACTTTGAAGATCAGAAGTGTTAGAGGACACAGACACATATGTATATTGGAAACGTATGCATATTTGTATGTATTGACCTGAACTGCCTGTAGGTCTGCCTTCTGAAGTGATGTTTTTATTAGGTTTTGAAGGAAGAATAGGAGCTTGCTAAGTGAATTTTGGGGGAATGGCTATCCAAAAAAAAAAAAAGCAAAACCAGGTCTTGAAAACAGTGATCTTAGGGAAGAGCTTTTTGTTAGGGGAGAAGGGTGAGACTATAGAAGAAGATTGGAGTTTTCACAAGCTGGGCCTCTAAAGCCAACCTAGACCCACTCTGGGCCTCTATTTTCAGAAGTGTCTGCTGTTCTCCAAGCAGTTCATGCACCAGGGCAATGTGGCCGAGACTACTCGGTAAATGCAAGGGCTGGGGTTTGTGGGGTAGGGAGCAGACAGTGAGCCCTGTCATGCTGAAGTGTGCACCCAACCCTTTCAGGTTTGAGAAGCTTGCTCAAGACCGCAAGCAGCAGCTTGAGATCTTGCAGCTGGCCCAGGCCCAGGGCCTTGACCCTCCTAGCCACCACTTTGAATTGAAGACATTCCAGACTGTGAGGTACCAAACTGTAAGGGAGACAATGGCTCCATGCAGGGATGTGCCAAGAGGCTGGGAGCCAAAGCTGGAAACTTAGGTCCCCTTAGTAAGAATTTCCAGGCTTGGCTCTGCCATAGGCACTGGGCCTTGGGGTGTGGGAGGTAGGCGTGGTGACTGCTTGTGAGGAGCTCAGAGCTGGGGGTGGCTAGGGAAGGAGCTCTGCTGCTTTTAGCCTAGACAAGCTGTGCCTCCCTGGGCCCGCTCTATTCCTAACCACCACCCGGCAGGCAGTGGCCCATCCCTGGAAGATGGGGACCTTTTCCCACTGCATTCCTTCACTTTGAGCTCTTTCTCCTTGCTTCCTGGCTATAGGATCTTCTCAGAACTCAACAGCACAGAAATGCATCTCATCATTGTCCGGGGAATGAACCTCCCAGCCCCTCCAGGTAGTCCTAGGGCCACTCCTACTCCAGTAGGCTCTTGCCCAGACACTCTACCCTTGGCCAATAGGGGGATACTGGGTCTCCCTCTACCTCAAGTGCTGGGCCCCTGGCTACTCCCTCTGGCCCTGACTCCCATTTCTCCTTTATAGGGGTGACCCCTGATGACTTGGATGCTTTTGTGCGGTTTGAGTTTCACTACCCTAACTCGGTGAGGTTCCAGTAGAGGTAGGATCCTCTGAATGTGTTCCAGGACCCTGTGTTCAATTTCTCCCCATCCCTGGGAGGTCTGGCTATTGGGAGGGGTTGGAAGGCCCTTAGGCCCCACCCCTTATACTCCTTTCCCTCACCACTGACTTAGCCCCGAGCTCTGGACCCTATAGACCTATTTTTTCAAGCTATTCTGACTTCTCTCTCCTCACTGCTTTAGGACCAGGCTCAAAAAAGCAAAACAGCCGTGGTGAAGAACACGAACTCTCCAGGTGAGGGCTGCTTCCTCCTCCCTCTCATCCTGATATGTGTGTGCAGCACTTGGTTTTCCAGATCTGTTGTCTTGATACTCAACTTGGGAGATACAGGCAGGTGTTATTACCACTGTTCTCACATAGTTGGGGAAACTGAGACTCAAAGAGGTAAAGGGACTTGCCAATGGCCTCCGAGCAAAGAAGCGTTGGAAACAGAACTTGAATCCAGGACTCCTGATAGAACTTGAATCCAGGAATCCTGACTCTAAATTCCAAGTTCGTCCCACTTTAGTACAATCTCTTATTAAGAGTACAAGAACTGTACAAGTTGACTTCCAAGGCCAGGACCTAGAGGCTCTACCACCCCCCAGTGGTAGTCTCTTTGAATTGCAAGCAGAGCCATCCAAAGGGGAAGCTGGCCCTTGGCCTGTTACCATCTCAGGAAATCCCTGGGAGCCACGTCCTTTTTTTCTCCCACCCTTGCAGAATTTGATCAACTCTTCAAACTAAACATCAACCGCAACCACCGGGGCTTTAAGCGGGTGATTCAAAGCAAAGGAATCAAGTTTGAAATCTTCCACAAAGGGTGAGGCCCTTGTCAGTCATTCATACTTTTGTAAAGGGGTGGGGTGGGCTGGGCAGAAGGAAAGACTAATGTTGTTGCTGCCGCTCCTGCTGCTACTCAGTTTTCTTGAGCTGGACTCAGCCAGCTCATTCCTGCCTAGTCTAATCCTCTGCTGACCGTTGGCTCCCCAGATCCTTCTTCAGAAGTGACAAGCTTGTTGGCACAGCCCACCTGAAACTGGAGCGGCTGGAGAATGAGTGTGAGATCAGAGAGATTTTGCAGGTAAGACCCAGAGATTGTGGAGGTAGGGTGGGCAAACCAGAAGACTTGGCAAGTGAAAAGCCAACATTCATTGAGTATCAGTCCCTATTTTAGGATTTTTGGGCCCATTAAAAAATAACCTATAAAGGTGTTATAGAGGTTATTCCCATTTCACAAATGAAGAGATGCAGAGGGTTTGACAAAATCTTTAGCATCAACCATTCTGAAAGTAGCTATACTGTTTCTACAACCATCTGGGCCACTCAGGTTCCCAGGGATGGTAGATTCCAGGGCCCTTGTGGGGTCTGACCGTTGCTGTCAACTTGGCACACATAAACCCCTAGTTTTGGCAGGGGCAGAGTTAGGGTTGGGGCAGTTGTCTGGCAGCTGGATGAAGTGGAGCAAGCTGTGACTATGGAATTGAAAAGCTATTTCAAAAACCGGGGACCTGCCACAGTGAAACTACTCTGCATTTAGGAATTGGCCGCAGACAGCTCCTTTAGTTCCTATGAACTTGTCAGATTTTACAGGCAGTGACTGACTCTGAGGGGTTGCCTCTGATAGATGAGGAAGCTAAAGTCCGGAGGGAAGGGTGTGGGCCTGGCAGAGTGTGTTCTAGACCCTTGCTGCCTTCATAGGTGGGGCTTTTCCCACTATTGTGCACCTCCCTCCCTTCGCCACCTTTTTGGGGGAGTCTTTAAGTGGGGCCTGCTCTGTATTGGCCACGTTGATGGTGGTTAGAGTCCCCCAGCCTGCAGCTGCCTCTTCCCTGCTCGCTAGGAGGCTGCATGGTGGGTGGTAGGAGCCCTTGGCCTGGGTTCTAGTCCTGGCCTTGCCACACTGGCTGTGCAATGTAGCATCCACTCTCTCTGGGCCATCTGTGAAGTGAGGGTCTGGGCTTAGTGGTTTTCCAGCTGCACCTGTAAGCCAGAATATTTCTTCCAGGAGTTACCATGGGGAAACTGAGTCAGCAGAACCCTATGTTTCTCATCTTCACCTCAGAGCATTGATGCTTATTTAAATTTATATATTTTATTTTTTACAATTATTTATTTTTAGAGAGGGGATAGGAGTGGAGAAAGAGGGAGAGAAACATCAATCGTTTGCCTCTCACATGCCCGCAGCCCAGGCATAGGGCCTTACCAGGAGTCAAACCAGCAACCTTTTGGATTGCAGGCCAGTGCTCAACCCACTTAGCCACACCAGCCAGGGCTACTCCCCCCACCCCCCCAAAATAGGACTTACCTGAAACCACCACCACCACCACCACCACCACCAGGGTTGTCATGAAATGGAGATTCCTATGTTGATACTGCAGGATATTTTAATTCCTCATTCCTTACCTGTGAGCATAGGGAGCTGCCTGCACCAGCCCCTAATCCAGTTACCATCTCCCTCTCTGCAATCCTCACAGGTCCTGGATGGAAGGAAGCCCACTGGGGGCAAGCTGGAGGTGAAGGTGAGGCTGCGGGAGCCTCTGAGTGGCCAGGATGTACAGATGGTCACCGAAAACTGGCTGGTCCTGGAGCCCAGGAGCCTGTGAGGTGGGCAGCTGCCTGGGCCCTCAGAACCTCTGACCCCTGCTCTCTCCCCAGGCCCTATAGGGACACTTCAGTACTCAGCTCATATGTGGGGAGGAAAGCCTAAGAGTTTCTCATCTGTGAGGATGATCAAAAGGCAAAATTGTTGGGTAGGGCTTGGGCCTGAGTTTCTTAGGATCCTCAGTAGAACCTGAGAGGAAGTAAAACCTTTGCAGGTCTAACTCTTCAGGAAATCCTTTCTAAACTCTATTTATGTATTGAATGCAGCTTAGACTGACTTCCTACTTTATGTGCTTTGTGCCTTGTGCAGCAGACGGTCAACACCAGGAGAGGAGCCAGGCCACCGGCTGTGTGCAGAAATGTGTTTTTCCCAGCTTTGCTGGCTACAGAAGCCTTTGTACATAAGGGAGATAAATGCTGCTACACAAATACCAAAAACCTGCTGATCACGGCCTCGGTCTTTCCTGTGGCTGGCCCTTTTCTAGGCCTCCACACCAAAGCAGGATGGATTCCATTAGGCTGCCTCCCCTTCCTGCGCAGCAAAAGCAAGGACAGCCTCATTGCTCTGTGCCATGGAGTCTTGCAGCCCCTTAACCTCTGTGCAGCAACTGTGTGCAGCTTACCCCGGCCCCTAGTTGCAACGTTTCTGAATGTGCCTTTAAAAGATACAACTGTAAAGGATGGGAGAGTTTGAGAGTGATCCTGCTTAGGGTTCCATGATGTTTGTCAGTGGCACCCTATGCCAAAGACCTCAGTTTACCCAGCCCTGCCTGTGCCTTGTTTCCTGACAGCTGCTGCTCTAGCCTCCCTGCTTCCCAAACTCCCAGTGGAGGAAGGAAGTTATGTTCTGGACTGTGTGGTGGGAAGCAGGCAAGGCTGCACCTTGAGTTTGGTCCGTGCACCTAAAACTAAAAGACTGCTAACTGGAGGAAAAAAAAAAAACATGTAAAAATTTATGTAGTGGTTTTTATTTAAGAAACTAGGTCTAATTCACTTGTATGGATTTACACTCTACACACAGTAACCATCAAAGACCTAAACAAAAGTCCTGTCACTTTTTAAAAGCCAGAGTAGCAGTAACATTTAATTGACAGAAACTGCTACTATGACTTCCTCTTTTGAGAGAGGGCAGAGGAAGTCTTCCCTCTTCAGCTAATCACCTAGGGAAATCCCCAGTTCTTTCCTAGAAATTCTCTTTTGGCTTTGTTTTTCTCAATGGATGGAGACGGACTTATAATTGCAATAGATTTAATATTCAAAACTGCAGTGTTCTACATTTCTTAAAAATTAACATCCCATCCACCCACCCTTCCCAGCAGCTTTTTGAAGCATTAGCTTAAGTTCAACATAGCATTCTTAAAGGTCACTTTTAAAGGTCCTAAGTGAAGCAAGTACATTCAGCTTACTGATCACTACAGCACTGCATAAGCACAGCTCAGGGATTGAGCTTTTTGGGGGATAGGGCTGGACCGTGCTTCCCTGCCCTTAACGGATCTTTTGGGGGTAACAGCATGAAGGACAAATGATTTTTTTCCCCAAGAGCTTTCTGGCCAGTCTTAACCATCAGAGTGATTTTTCAGATACGAGGTAGAACGCTTAATTGCTGTTACATCTCTGTGTCAAGCCAGCAGTCCTCTACAATGAAAAGGAAGGGTGTTAGCCTTCATAAGGGGGCCTAGAACAAAGATGAGTGGCCAGGAGAGTTTCTGACCCAACCTAACCTTCCCCTCAGGTTTGTACCCCAACTGGTGCTTAACTAAGGTCTCGGACAGCTGTCGTTACCCTCAAAGGTTCCAGCCAGCCCTAGGTATTTCTGAACTTGGACCTGTGCTGAAAACATCCTGTTCCAATTTGATAGGAAGTATTCTGTGGCTCACAGATTTCCTTTTGCAACCTGTTCAATTTTAGTTGTCTTCACTGCTTTTTGCTTTCTGGAAAACAGATCCTCCAGGCTGGGGGGAGGCAAGACAAAGCCACCCACTGGACTTGGAGACTGAGGTTCTGAAAGGGCCTTTGTTGTGGCCAACACATGCAGGGGTCAGTGGTGGTGGGAGGAGCCTGCCCAGTCTCAAAAGATTTGTCCAAATGCAGCAACCAGGCATTGGAGATGAGTGACTCCGGAGCAGTTGAGAACAAGACGTGACCCAAATCATTTTTAAATTTTAAATTCTCTCTTCAGTCTAGTGCAAGGCACAGTTTCCTCTGAATTAGCGAACTGAATAAAACATGGAGAAATTTTTCTCACATGAAGACTTGCTCACAGCACAAACTATTTTGTGACTTCAACATTTTTCTTAAGCACCACTGCAAATCACCTGTTGCTTCCAAATTTTGAGAGCTTGCTTTCCAAATTTTGTGGGCAGTTCCTACAAGATCTTGCCCCTTAATCAGGCAGCTCCTTTACGGGTGAAACTAGGGGGCTGAGACGGGTGGAACCAGGGAGCTAGTACCCAGCCCAGCTCCATGGCAGGTGGATGCCTTCCTGCTCTGGGCCTCAGCTTCCCCAACTCTAGGGTGGGCATCCCTCTCTTCCTGCTGTGCTCCTTAGCTTTTCTGGCTACATATACAATTCCTAAAATTCCCATTCCATTGTTAAAATTAGCTTTATTAAAATAGAACAAACAATATAGAAACAAGGTTCAACAGATTGCTTATTATCTGAAATGCATGAAATGCATAAATTACTCCCCAGATGAATAGTTAGGCAAATTTAGTTGGGAGTTTTGGGTCCACCAGCACTCAGGAGCCACTGGATGAGGGGAAATACTAGATGGGAACTTGGAAAAGGCAAAGTCCCATATTTCTAGGAGTCCAGTAGGTATTTAGAAAGTGATAAAAACAAATGCAGAAACTACATCTAACATTTATAAGAACTCAATTTAAAAAAATTGAGTGTTACCATTATGGAATTCTATTCCTCTTCAGTTTATAAGGATCTCTATATGTCAATCTTTTTAGTTTACATTCTAGTAAAATGTGACTTCCTTAGAAATGTGATGTTTCAGCCCTCTATGTAACTATATACAGTCTATAAAAATAAAACAGGGAAGGGGGGAGGTAAACTAGCCTTGGCTATTTTATGCCCAATTCCACAAAATACACTAAACATAAAGGACATTTTATGCAATTGAGAATAGATCTGACTATGCAGGGCTGGAGCTTGTCCTTAGTTCCTTAGTTGGAGAATTTAAAACCTTGGCACTGAGGAGAAATATGTACAATTGCAAGATGTATTTAGCTGAATGGGAGGAAAGATAAACTTCTATTGGAAAAAAGAACCAGCTATAGAGGCTCCAAACTTACAAGTATATTTGGACCAAGCTGGATGTTGAGAAACATCCATAATACCTGCCCCTATCGACAAGTGTCCTATCAGGTTTTGGAGGGCTATGTGTGTGGTCCCAGGGCTTGCAGAACACTGGTGTTCTGGGCATCTACTCTTCTCCCTTAGAAGCCCTGAGTATCTGAGTCTGTGGGAAAGGTCACAATGACAGCTCTTGCAGCCACCACCAAGAGAGAGACACAGAATGTCGACCCCCTCCTTCCCCAACCAGTACCACCATGGAAGGGGGATAAACACAGGGGGACACACTGCAAGTTGAAGGCCAGGCCTTTCGGCCTCTTTGGGACAAATGGTGTTGCCCTGAACAGCTACGCAGCCTGTAACTGCCAAGTGCTAAGTCCCCCTCTGGCTCCAGGGCAGCGGCTTCTCACTGCCCCAGAGGCTTGCATTAGCTCCCAGAGGGTTCTTAGAGCTGTGCACTTACGCAGAGGGGCCATCTGCTGCTTGGCCTGGGCTTGCATAAGAAGACAGTGACTAGGAAGTGAGTTACCCTTGAAAAGTGTTTTTCAAACTCTGGGTTGTGAAATCCATTTGGTCTATGACCAGAATAACATGACTGATACTGAGGCTGGGACAGGATGAGCACGAGATGAACCTGGAGCTTCATGTTAGGCCAGAAAACAAAGTGTTAAAAAAAAAAATGACAGGAGCACATCACAGGGAGGTAGGAGCTACCTGAGGGGCTCTCGTTGGCCAAAGCTGAGCCCATTTGAGCATCCAGATAATGAATTAGCGCTATTCAAAAAGTAACCCACAAGCCCACAATGAAAGTTGCTTAAACAAATAAATAGGAAAGAGGAAAGCTTTTGCTTATAGATGACCAAGTACAACTAGTAAAGGTGGAGGTAGTGCTGAAATTGAAAAATCTTTCTGTAGCCATCCTAGCAAAAGATCAATTCAGACAAGAAATGTGAGTGGATACTAAATCTAAGGGGAAATTTTGATGGCAAGATCTGCATGATCTGAAATGAAAGTGTCTGTACACACTGGTTATTCATTCCAAGGGGAGAAAAAAACACTGGAGAAACTGGACAGCACTTTGACTAGGTGATCAAAATTTACTATCATCCATGAGGGGCAGGTGGATATATCAAGTGACCCCAGAGCTGATGATTCCCTAATCACTTAGGCCCACAGCATCACTTAGGATTCTGGCCAAGAATGCATGTGATTCTAATTATGAAGAGACACCAATCAACTTTAAAAAATCAGGCATTTCCTATTAAAAAATGGGGTGAGGGAACTATACTCACCAAAAATATGGAGAAAATAAAAGATACAAGTGAGTCAAGAGAGCTTTTTGCTATGTCTGAGGCTAGGCTGGAAGCTTTGCTGGAGGGGAAAATTCCATGAAGGACATTGTTGGACAGATGCCCAGGTCAAGTAGCACATCAATGTTAGATTGAGTGAGGTTGCAAGCTGTCCTGCTATAATATAAGAGGGGGCCCTTAATTTTAGGAAATATGCATTAAAGTGTTTAGGGGTAAAAGGCTATTAGGTGTGCAGCTTGCTCTCAAATGCCTCCATTTTTTATGGAGAAACACTAATAAAGCAAATGAGGCAAAATGTTAATAATATGTGAACAATCGGTGAATCTAGGTAAAGCGTGCACAGGTTTTTTTGTACTTATAACCTTGGAAGTTTAAATTATTTCCCAATAAAATGTTTTTAAAAATATATCTAGTGTATAGTATAACTAAAAATGTCTTAAACACATTGTTAGCTCTTGCAGAAAGGCCCAATTCAATACCTGCCATTGACTCGGGCAGACCTTGAGTCATCCTGAACTCGGCCCTGCTATCCAAATCACCACGCTCACACTGCATCGCCCTTTCTTGGCTAGGAGAGGGGTTATCCGTTGGGTAATCTGGTAAAAACAAACAAAAACCTAATTGTGACTTCTACTTGAAGTTACTGAAAATGGGACAAGATCAGTGTCATACTTTTTATATCAATTCTGTACAAAGAGTACAAGACTGATGCTTCATTTTTTATTTCCCCTCTGCCCGCCCACCCCACCCTTGGTGATGGCTGTACCCATTTGAGCATTTCTGAGCACAAGACCATAAGGAAGTCTTAAAACAGGAGCAGAATCCTTGTCTAAACAGTAACAGAAAGAGATTAGCTGCAAGGATAGCATAGCTGTCGTGCAGTAACGGAAGCTGCCCAGGTCTTCTTGGTGGACAATGCATAGAAGACTTAGAATTATGGAGCATCTGTCCCCCCAACTACCCTTTCCCACCCTAGTCCCCCAAACTCCCTCTGCCCCCCCATTAATAGTGTTAACAAAAGCTTAATCTTCCAGTTCTAAAGTGCAAATGACTTGGGTATGACTGCTGTTGCAACAAGTCTGAACAGGAAAAAAAAATAAAGTCCTCTGTCTATGCGATGTTTTCCAGAATATAAAAGATGAGTTCCATGACGACAGGGCCCTCACTGAGCTGGCAGGCCCCTCCGTGGATCACCGGCACCAAAGCGCTGTCCAGATCATTCATGTACTGCGAGGGAAGGGGCTGGCCATTGCTCCCTGCTTGATAGCCAACCTACACCACAGAGAGAAGGGGAAGGCAGGTTACTGGATAGAGAAGGTCTCTCCATAGGGCTGAGAGCCAAGAAGGCTGAGCAGGAAAGGAGACGTCCTCCCTGGACATGGGCTAGACACACAGCAGTTAACACGAATTTCTCCTTCTCTTCCCGGAATTGTCATTTATCGTGCTGACCACTAACACCTCGTGGCCATGAGACCCTGAGCAAAACACTTAACCTGTTAAGGTCTTAGTTTCCTGAGCTGGGGCTGGGGTGATACAGAGAGAGAGGGAATGTCAGGAGTAATACCTAAACCTATGGTTGTGAAAGTGAAAATGGGAAATACATGATATACCATATTGTGCCATGTATAATGTGCACTTTTTTGCCCAAATTTCTGAGAGAAAAATAAGACTGCACATTACACATGGTATAATGATCACATACCATAGGTGTAATAATCCCATGTACAATGTGCCCAAAAACATGAGTACGCATTATACACAGAAAAATACAGTAACTCTCTCACATAGCAGGACCTGAACACTTACTCTGCCGATCATCTGTCCACACACTATTTTAAGCACCTACTAACAGAGGAATTCAAAGATTAATGTAACAGGGCTCCCTCCTGCCCTCAAGAGGGCCACTGATCAGCAGAAAACTTTTGTTTTATAATTGTTTTATGTGAAGTAACTCTCTTTCCAGACAGATTATCAGTTCCATTTGACAAAGGATTATGATGCCTCACTGTATTGCCCTCATATGCTTAGTATAGCATTGGGAAAGGCCTTAAGTAGAACACACATACTTATTGATGACTAGTCAGGAAATGGAGCCATATACATAAGTTTTCACATTTTCCCTGACAATGACACAACTCTGTATCAATGCAGGAGCCCTGGGACATGTTACAGCGATCCAGATTCCAAAATGTACAGGCATGCCTTGTTCCGCTGCGCTTCACTTTACTGTGCTTTGTGGATATTGAGCTTTGTTACAAATTGAAGGAATTTACAAATTTACAATTTACACATTGAAATTGTGGCAACTTTGCATTGAGCAAGTCTATCAAACACCATTTTTCCAACAGCATCTGCTCAATTTGTGTTTCTGTGCCACATTCTAGTAACTAGAAATATATCAAACTTTTTCATTATTGTTATATTTGCTATGGTGATGTGTGATCAATGATCTTTAATGTTACTATGGTAATTGTTTTGGGGTACCACTAACCACATGCATATAAGACGGTGAACTCAGTTGATAAATGTGTGTGTTCTGACTGCTACAAAGACTGGCCGTTACCCCATCTCTCTACCTCTCAGGCCTGCCAAGTCCCTGAGGCATAACAATATTCAAATTAGGCCAATTAATAACCTTACAATGGCCTCTCAGTGTTCAAGTAAAAGGAAGAGTCACATATCTTTCAGTGTAATTCAAAAGCTAGAAATAAATAAGCTAAGTGAAGAAAGCAGGTCCATAACTCAGGCCAAAAGTTAGGCCTCTTATGCCAACAGCCAAGTTGTGAATGCAAAGGAAACGTTCTTGAAGGAAATTACAAGT